ACCACTATCGTATTACAAAGCTTAATAAAATGTTGTGGATGTGGCCATTGGTTGGGAACTTTATAAGAATGACATTTTTTTTCAAGTATTATGATTTTGTTTGGCCATTTAGTCCCTATGTTCCTTTTTTGTTTCTTCCAGCTGCCAACGTTCGTCGCACACGTACAAAGTTTGCGGATGAAATTAGCTAGTTTTCACCACCCATCATTTACGATTGTGCGAATTCCTACGAAACTGTTGTTTTCAAACAGCTCTGTTTTTGTCATGGACGTCACCTGAAAACATGTAATGTATATGCTATGTGACCACTAAACAGACATGGATTGTAGTCCATTTTTTAAAAAAATGATTGCTTGATTTCAATTTCACTTTGTTAGTGGGAAGAGAGCAGTTTTCGGCTCAATTTTATGGAGTCGAATCAGTTAACGGCAAACGACTGACTGATTTTCGTGTCGGTCAAACTTGGGTCACTTTGATTACGTACGCAGTTGTCGGCTCGTTGAAAGAGGCGTTGCATTTTACAGTTGCCGTTTTGTCTTTCCTTCCATGCAGTTCGCTCACCCATTTTATGAACCTCAATGCTATCAGCTATGTACTTCATCTCTTTTTCAGGGTTTTCGAGGGTGGATTTGTAGACATTAGTGTTAAGGCGTCATTGTTATTCTCTTGGAGACCTTACTTTGGGTTGTAGTCGACTGCGACGGATGAATCTATTCTGTACGAAATCGGGAAATAATCCAGTGGTCATCACTTGTTTACTGTTAATGGTAAAGGGAAGTACACGCACTTCCTCAACTACAAAGTGAGCACCATCACACCGAGGACCGCGATGGCTGTCATCATTGTTGGAACGAGCTCGGGCCAAGTTTACTGTCCGAAGCATTTCTTGGGATTTTTAGTGTAGTGTAGTTCTGTCCTGAGGAGATACCATTGTGTAAATCTGCTGAACCATTTGTAAAAGCGTCGCTGCCTTCCCACGTGTACTTTATAACTGGAATGCCATATTTTTGCTCTCGGTTATCCTGCTTCAACACAGTCGCCTTCGTGAATTTACAGGGAAACTGGTTATATGACTGGTAGTGGGATTTCTTTGGTTTAATGATACAAAGTGCTCAATGGTCAATTCCTAGTGGTTGTCTGACCGTTTTCGTTCAAGGATTATTAGAGCAATCCTTGCAGTTTTAAACTGTCACAGGTGTATGGCACTTCGATAATCATGTGTTGAGCTAGTCTCGAATTGGCTTTAACACTTTGTTCTTGTACCGCTTCAAAGTGGAGTTGGATATGTGGCTGCATTAAACTGCTTCCGATGTTGGCTATTGCAGATTGATGGAACCGACTTGCTTAATTGTGGTTAGTTTTCAAAAATTAAAGGCAATTAACCGAAATACTTATCTCATCCAGTTGGATGCTATAGTAATGCTGCTATTCAGGCTACAAAGTGGCGGGCTTGCAAATAACTATCAGTCAATCAGCTGAGGATCTCTTGGTTACATTACTCTTCGTGGCTTGTAGGAGCTCTTCGTTGTCATTCCAAAATGCGATGCACTATGCTAGCTTTGCGTTAGCTGTTTCATGAGGCTACAGAAAGGTTCAGGAGAGGTAATTTGCGAAATAACGCCTCTTAAGGCTCCTTGACTTTGGTGACGGAATTTAGGTTTCACCAAGTTCGTTCCCAGTCTTCATATGCGGTAGCGCCTTTTAATTAATGGTAAAATGAGGGTAATGGAGGTAATTTTTTGGCACTACCTGTTCTGCAATCCTGTGGACGACCATCAACCAAGGTTGTACTAATCTATTAGTGGGAAATGTGACATTTGATTAAGCTGCATTTAGTAGAAGAATTCAACTACTTGTCTACCCAAGCGTTATTTGTTGCATCAGATTACCATTCTGACAAAATAAAGATAGATTTCAAGACATTCGAAACTCTCTCCAAACATTTCAGTCGAGTAGCTGTCTTTGAGATCTGCAATACGCCATTGACTGATGTCGGAGGTTCCATTATCCGTTAGGGTGGATTCGGTTGTCGCTTATCCAGTCACAAAGGTTGTTTAGGTTGGTGGTTAGTGTCAATCATTTGAGTTCAGTTATGCACACGTTGACTTTAAGGTCTATCTCTCTTTATCCAGTCGTTTCCATTTGGTGAGAGGTCACGGCTTTTATGTCAATCGTGAAGCTTGAAACGAATTCGATGGATAAGAGTCGCATTCCTCTATTTGGTTGAATTTATTGTCAAGGTTTGACTAGGTGGTGGGAGGAGCTAGGTAAAGGTAAATGCGATTTTGTGTAAATTTCAGTATTCACATCTGCCAAGTTTGTCTAATTTGGTGTATGAAGATACTTGTTCAAGCAGATTACTTTCTTATAGCTAGTCTGATCGGTTGGTTAGTCATTTGATCGACCAATAATAAGTGGCCATTTATTGTCAGAGCTTCAGCCACCCGTACGGATGCCCCACAGCGCACCTGGTTCGCCCTTTTTTGCACCTCTAAGTCAGTGTATAAACCTCACGCTACCTCATAAATGTAAGTTGCTTGTAGTCAGAATGAGATTTAACTGCAGTCTGGAAGTAATCAACAAATAAGCCACGTTGGCAGCACGAAGATTAAGTCATCAAGGTTTTTATAAGTTTGGGAAATTTGTATTGTTTCATCTGGCAAACAAGTGTTGACACTACTCGACTAACAAAACCAGTAACCTCCAACTTTTTCCACCTGGGTAATTTTTACGGTTTGTCAAATTGCGTAAAGAGTTGAGAAGCCCACTGGTCCAGAAACCACTTCCAGGGTGATTGTAAACTCGTTAATGGCGTTGCTGAAGGGTGCTACGAAGTGTTTTCGAAGAATTTGCAATAAGTCGGTCGCACTTTTTAGGCCTAAGAATACTAAAAAATCATTTTATTTCAACGTTCAAAGTAGTGAGTCGAGTAATATGGTAAAATTCCTACTAACTATTAACCCGTGACATTCATAGAGCCACAAGTGCACAGCGAATAATATCGACGGATTTTCTTCACATAAATCTAAAAAGAGAACAGCTCTATTTAACCTGGTTGGTATTCCGGGTCTCAGGGAAAATGATCACCACAGCCTACCAAGGAATAGTTCTACCTAACGCTGTGCTGCTGTCAAATCGAGAACATCCCACACCTACTTTGTGACTTCAAACTCAACTAATCTGATTACCACACGGTGTGCTGCATCCGGTCACCATAACTTGACAGGTATCATGTCATGCTTGTCACACTAGTGACGAACGCGTTACTGTCAAGATGAAATATGGGAAGTACTCAAACTTGACATTAATTCAGTTTGTTGTGGCACGTTAATATGACACTGTTTACCACCGCTTTTCACTCATCTTAATGGAACAGTTAGCTGATTGATCTTCCCACGAATTACCAACAGGTGGGATACTAGCATTGGCACCAGGATTCCACTGAGGTGCTGCATCAAACAAACACACAAGTGTAACAAAGCACCCCACCGGTTAAAGCAATGTATTTAGATTACCCTGCTAATTAATAAATGTCATTGTCAAAATAGGATGGGCCATGTCCGCATTTGGTATTTGGATTTAAACTAGGTTAAGCTCTTAGACGGCCAGATACGCGATACTGGACAATCGGAGGGATTGACACACCACGATTTCTTTGTTAAAAACAACGAAACAGAAATGAGACATCAACTTTTTTCCGACCATGGGGTAGTTGACGCATTCTGTAATGGTGTGAGAGGGGAATGCGCAGACCAGCGTCGTGGTTAATCACCAAATTGTACCAAAAATATGGTTAGCTTGGTGCTTGAACTGCTGAATCCATCCAGTATTACAGCCTCATTCTCGCCATTTCCTGCAGCTAGACCATCCGATTTGTCTTTAAAGACGGGAGTAGAGTGGTGTAGAGAGGGTGCAAAAATAATATCAGAACCTCTAGCCAGTGTTACGGAACGCGGGCTACGGTGACTAAACGGAAATGTGCATCCCCAAACCCCGTTAGAATATCATTAAGCCGTTCAGCTAATGCCGCATATTCTTACAAGACTTGGGTTAGTATTCCATCAACCCCTGAATATTCCTAATGAGCTGACGTGTGCTTTAATTACTAAAAAAATTTCTTCACTTTATGCTATCCTTATTCCCTTTTTAAATGTCTACTTTCAAAGTAAGCTGGGGTCATAATGTCAGTCGAAACGGGACTGATAGCGATTACTGATGCGACGATTCCGAGACTCTTAAGTCATTTCATGGCATTTGGACTTCAATAGAATGATTTAGTACTAGACTGGTCGTGACTATGGTTGTTTTGGCTAAATTTCTAGAAACTTATTAACCATGTAATACATATTCGTTTAAATGATTTATTGAGGCGAGAGGTAGTAGGTAAATAAGAACCTCTTGACGGATCAGACGCCTTCGGCTTCCGCTGAAGAGGATGAGGAAATGTAACCCAAACACGCCCAACCGTGCTGTCCGTGCCTATTTATTTACCGCTACCCCATAAAGCCCGTTCCACGAATGTGTAGGCTGAATTGAAAGAGAGAAATATCAAGCCTATTACACACCAATCCACTCGAACAACTGACAACTGACTTACCGGGACCCACTAGCTGAACTGTTCCTCGCCCCCTCATAGTGATGACAGTTTGTATGAACAAAAAGCGCAACATGGGTTGGTCCCATTTCTGATTAATCAACAGTCATATCCCTAAGATCAGTCAAGCAGGAATGGGGGAATTCCGCACTAAGCGGCAAACCCGCCCACTTTTTCGTTGCACACAGTTCTACACGCCAAGCTGTGTGAAACATGCGGGGTAATGTTGCCGGTCAGAGGATGATCATCCTTTTCAGGTATTAATAAGGAGCATTTTTAACATCAATCATACCTTTTCAGACAAAAAGACGATGTTTTTTCAAATGTGTTTGCGAGGGGATGACAAATAACATAAACATTGATCCTTAAGGTTCATCGGATACGATTTCATAAATATAGGCGTTTACCAACACTGTAGGGTTCACTTATTTGCTGTGGGTCGACTACAGACATTACTAATACCAGCGCCAACTATTGTTCAAACAGTTTTCTATGCTGCAAATAAGGACGTAAGATTAATGGCAAGATCCTTACTACTAATCCATTTAAGCATGCATGCTGTTCTCATTATCTCTATTGTCTAGTGATTGAAACGACAAACAAGATGATAGTTGCTTCAAGTCCTAAGTGCTGCACATCTGGTACAAATGGGGCGTCAAATGCACCCGCGAAGAAATTACTAGACGTAATTCTGCAAACGTCTTTATTGTAGACTAAAAGAAGAGCTGGGAGCTAAAAGCACAGGCCCAGCAAAGACAGATCCTTATCAATTCTGTGAAGGTCGTATCGCGAGACACTGAAGAGGAGAGCTACAGCCATCCCTAAGGAGTCGACGCTTCAGATATTAAACACCGCGGAGTTATTAAACACATAAGAGCTATTTACACAAAAAATTTGGTGCCCGAGCTTTAAATTATCCTCATTACTGGCCCACAAAAGAACTGGGCGGATGGGGGCAGAGAGGTCACTTTACGAGGCCCTTATATCGCTTGCTCGAGGGGCTTAAGTGACCACTGGAGCAACAAAATTAAGCAAAACGAATTCATACTAAACCGGCAAAATTCACCGTCGGTGGACAATTTTAAGAAATTAAATGGGTTCTTAATTGTGGGCAGCTTCATAGTGGGATCTGAATCTTTGAGATGAAATTAAAACCTGTGGAAATGGTAACACCACATTGTCCGATTCTAGCTATTTATGAGGGGATGTTTACAATTTCGGAGAATACCGCAGCACTCTGAGGCTTATCTAAAGACAAATAAGTTATGGGGTAGAGTGCATATTGCTGATGTGTAGAAGGGCTGGAGAACGGTTACTGGCATGGCCCGGAGGTCATTCCTTTCAGCTGACGTACAAAGTAGGAGCCTTATCTGGCCGCGACATTGAAATAGAGAGTAAAACCACTAATCAAAGTATTGCAATGTAATGCAAAGCATCAGCCGACCAAGTAAGCCTTCAATGAAGTCTTCCATGCTGTGTTAGAAGAGCAACAGCTGAAGTGTGTAATACTGGCCACCTTCTGCTACTTATATTAACTTAAGTAGAACCAGGTCAACTCTACCAAACGTAGAAGAATGCTCAAATAATTTACTGTTACTGGCCTCTAAAGTAGAAAGGAGACCAGCGCAGGTAGAAAATAATGCTTTGTTCAGCAATAACATACATTTAATTGGGGAAGCTAAGTCTCTGGACTATCTCCTATGCGACACTACGAAGAAGTCAAAATTCATATTTAATCTTCTAAAAATTTGCAATGTTTGGAAAAGGAATGTGATCGACAAAATTACCTATTACATTCTGAAAGGGCACATTCTTCATTTACGAAGCGGCAATTCGCCGAACGAAAACACTTAGGCAATAAAACATCCGATAAGAATCCTGTGAACTTGCATTAGAAACTATCCCAAACAGAAAACTATAACTTGACTTTGAACAAGAAAGCTAATTAAAAGTCGAATTAAGAGCATTTTCAGTGAAGTCCCGTTTAGAAAGTGCAAGACTCGAGTCCCAAGACGCCAGCATCCAACTGGCCAATAAGGCGGCGAGGACGTGTCCGTGTACGCAGGGCAGCCCCGTACATCTGCCAACCACACGAATCGGTGGTGTGTGGGCCGCCTCCACACCAAACTATGCAGTGATTCGTCAGTGTAATCGCATATATTAAACCACTGCTGTCCCGCGGCCCTGGTTCTGTACGAACAAGCAAGCTCACGAGATGGGCGCGGCGACACCCATTGCCGGCCATCAGCGGGCTTCTTGGTTCTGCTTACTTCCTTTTCTCGCTGTTACACTCCTCTTCCTCCTTCCTCCATGTCACGCTTTGACGCATTTCTATCAAGTGAATTTGCGTCTGAAGGAGAGCAACCCCATGCTAGAGCTGCGATGCCCTCTCTATCAGGCGGTGCCTGGCGACGTGTTAATCTACTCGGATATGCAGAGTGCCGAGTTAATGAGAGTGGTACTGCAAGAGGGTAAACCGGCGCCTGTGCTAGCTCTACCCATCGAGAGTCTTAACAAAGATACTGGGGCTTTTGTCTTCTTCTGCCGAGTGTTAGAGTCAAAAACGCAGAGCTTGGTGTCGAAAACCACCTTTGTTGTGCAGAAACAAGTGAGATCTAACATCAAAGGTGATTATTACTATTATTTTTCGCCCAATCCTCACTGGTTAAATGCATTTAACTCAGCCCGAATTGTTTTGTTAAATGATGTCGTTCGGTTAGAAGTCTGATGTAGTACTTCCAATTTAGTATTTCCGATAAAAAATATGGCGAACTCCATCATTTATTTTCGCGGTTGCCCTCTAAAGATTTTTTAATTCTTCCCACCGCAAACCTTATGAATAGAAGTTCTCCCACTTACGTTCCCATCCGATTTTCACGCCTTGACTTGCACGATTTCAGCTCCTATCTACGAGACTCTCCATTATGATCCTGACGAGGTGAAAGTTCTCCAAGTTAAGCTGGGTCAGTCACTTAAAGTTGAGTGTCCGATCAAGGCTGGTGTGCATCAGTGGTTCAGGGCTGGCGGTGAACAAATGCTTGAGACTTTCTCAAAAGGTCCCGTGGATGTGTTGAACTTTGCCTCTGTCAAGACGAGTGATCTGGGTATTTACTACTGCAGCGCCAAACCTACGGAGGAAAGCCACCCGTCCGGACTCTCGCTCCTTGTTCAGAAGTTCATTATCAAGGCGAACGGAGGTGAGGTATTCTGTATTTGTGTAAATATTTCATAACAACACAAGTAATCGCACATTTTATTATCCTTCACTCATCTCGAGGTAAATTAATTGGAAGCTGAAGGTAGAGAATTTGCATTCTGTTTATGATTTCCACCTACGTGGAAGGCACTTCACGTCTTTTACCTTGACAGTTGAAGCAGCTACCGTCTTAGACAAGCCAGATTTCGAAAAGAATTTTATTAATTGCCATAGATTGTAACGATGCTGTGGGTTTTTTTTGGGAAGGAAATTTTGTTTTGACATCCAGTCAACTTGTCATTTTAAAGTCCAATTCTTGATTCGAAGGGCGAAGGTTGATTCGGTTCATCAAGTCTTGACCATTTTTTACCAAAAATCTGCCAAACAAGTAATCAGTAGAACTAAGATTTCAATCATACGTGGACCTCACTTGCAAAGGAGCTACTATTTTGATCCTTTTAAATATGTTATAATTTACAACAAGCAATCCACACGAAAAAAACTGTAAATGTTTTCAAAGCTGCAGAAACTTCGTGGGTGCTATCATTCAATTCTTCCAAAAATCAAGTTGTAGTGGCTAGAACAGAGGTAACTGCGATTGACAGCTCGGTAAAAGCTAAAACTTGATCGTTTAATCGTGATTCTTTGACATCCAGTAGAATTTAGAAAGCAGCTGCCCTCTAAAAGCGAGTAACTTACAAATGTCGTTGCTGTATCAGACACGATACTGGCCCGAATGGCGGATGTGCACGTAGCAGAGGACCACCGTGTAGTCCAAGTGTGCAGACAGGAAATGAAGGAACTCGGCCCCTCCAACATGGTCAGTTGGGAAAGGCCTCTGGGAGTGGTGCATCTGGTCCGCTCAGGAAAACACCAAATCACCCTTAATTCGCCAACAGCTTCTGAGCAGCCCTTTTACTGTTCCATCGAGGATCATGGCACTCAGCCCATGTCCGAAATAGATACCGCGACGTTGGTGCGATCTCGTCGCAGCGTCACGAGTAAGTTGGGAATTCAGTCTGGCTTAATAATGCTTTATCTAGCGTCGGCTCAATGAAACATATGATCCAAGCTGTTGTAGATTTTACCGATTATTTTGGTCAGTTAGCTCCCCAGCTAAGTTTGTTTTGTCGCCTGAAATCATCTATTTTTGAATTACTGGTGCTGGTTGAGATAGGTCAACCACATAAACCAGATGCCAAAGTATGAAATGCCAGGAAAAACAACCTATTCACACATGCAAACAAATCTACTGTTTTTGAACCACATGGAGTTTAAACCTCCTCTCACTCAATGCATATTTATGCCGTCTTTCAAAGCCTTTTTTTGTTTACATAAGGAAATGGAAGTCGATGTCGTTCACCTGTAGTAAACACACCTACGAATTTTCTCAGACAAAGGCTCTTAATCAAAGCACCTCATTCTGCGCCTTTTCTGTCGAATGCCTGCCTTACTTCGTAGTACAACCGGTCAAACCTTGTGAAATTCTATCACCCAAGTCGATTACATTCATCGACAATCCACTTAAAACGCCTTGCTTACTCATCCGGGTTTGAATAAAACTGCTCGATGAGAGCTAGGCAAGATCTTATTGCATAATCGAGGAACAATTACATAATAAAGTGGTGATTTTAACCCGCTGTCCACTCAGTCCAGTTATAATGCAATTTAAGGACCTCATTTCATACTGAGAGAGGTCAGCGCGAATGGAAAGACGGCAACGGTTGAGTGTCGCTGGGATGGGAATAAGAATGTGCGCTACGAGTGGTTGGCGAATGACGGAAGCATTGTTGGGAGGGATGCACTACAGGAGGTCAACTTGGTGGGTCTGTTGGAGCGTGTCACTTCCACCTACACTAACACTGAGTCCAGACAGCACTACACCTGTGTTGTCTTCGATCTTGTCTCCGAAGAAAAGTTGGGCGAGAGCACTTTCAGTGGACTAACCAAATTCAAGCAACCTGATCTCAATTCCGGTAAGCCATGTTGATAATATTCTACGGGCTGCGGACATCTTACCCATTTCGATTGATATTTCCTTACCTAAACACAAACCGAGCCCATTTCATTGTTTTTCTGTTTGGATTTCAGTACCCAGGCACATATTTCAAACCTTGTCTTTACAATCAGCTGTATTCATGATGTAATTCCGTTTCCAAGATGCAAGTGCTGTTTTACCTTGGACGGTTTACAAGTGCATACCTTTGGAAATAAAAGCTCAATCATGCGTTAAACCTTTTAGTTGAACTGTCAGAGGAGCCGGATGAAATTATTGCACTCTACCCTGATGAGCAGTTGGAAATGCATTGTGACATACCATCGTCTGCGCCTTTCAGGGCAAGAGATGTGAGTTTCTTTAGGGATGGGGGGTAGACTTCAATTGCGACTAAATATTCAATCAGAAGTTTGCGGTCTAGTATCATTTTTCTAAAAAAAATTGCTAGCTAGAACGAAGAAGGAAACACCGCAGGTCCCCCCTGATGGAGTTCTATGGAGTACTCACTCAGATTAATACTAGGTGGGACCACCTTTAAGAACCATTAGATCACGCCTTTTGTCATCGAATTGTGGCTATCACCATTTAGCCTAACCAATCTGCATTACAAAAGTATGAACGATTCCGTGGATTATCAGAGTTTCCAATCTCAAAAAATACCCGCTTTTTGCACAATCAGAACCCAGTCAATTCATTGATGATTGTAATATTGGTGAGGGAATCTTTGTAGTCTCATGTGTGTTTCACTATAAAACCTCTTCGGTTCACTCCCTTATGTACAGTTACTTCGGCTCCATACTCAAATGAGTGAGCACAACCACCAAAAACAGGTGATTTATGAATTGTTAGGGCAAATGATTCAGCCAATGCAAAACTTTTCCCATTTAGATCGACTGGTACTTTGGCGGTGAGAAGTTAGGCAGAGTACCAAACAGAGTGAACCTGGGCAAATCGAGCATCCTCGGCTTCACTGAAATGTCGGAAGATAGGACGGCTACTTACTCTTGCCGCTTTGGCGAAACTGTAAAGGCCATACACATTATTGTGAGAGCGCGTAAGTCTCACCTTTTGTTACATAGTTGCACTGGAACCTCCATTCAGTCCATTACAGACTGTTATCAATATCTTTTTGTTATTGAAGGCGCTGTATCAATCAACATTGAACCAAAGGAGGACTACAAATCCAGCGGAATCAATGACATGGCTGAATTTCACTGTCGAGTTACTGGCATGAAGAATGGCGGAAAAAACGTGGGTCCCAGTTGTCTAACACTGCTTGTAATTGTTTTTGCAATGAGATGTTAACTGCGTTTTCTTCATGCAGGTGCGCTGGAGTTTCATTCCAGATGGCGCAACGGAAGAACAGGGCATTCCGTCAGATGTGGAGATCTCAGAACCGTCGGCAGCTCCCGCCACGGCATTTCTCTTCATTAATAACCCTGAAAAGCGCCACTCAGGGCAGTATATTTGTCGCATCCGTCGTGATATGGATGTTGGCAGGCTCATTGTCGAGGACCGAAGTATGTTATGGATATGAAAACATATATCCAAAGTGCCTTTCTGTGACCTTCTGAGGATCTGTACACTCATAAGAAGACCTCTTCGTAGTTTTAAACACAGCCATTGATCATCCCCGAAAGATTTTACTAGTCGTATTCTTTGCATCTAAATCTACGCCTGTGGATTATGCTCTTAAAGGAAACGCAGCCATTAAGTGTTGAACCTTCCACGTTTATTGCAAATTTCGTTTACTTCTGCCTACCTTAGAGAACCATACCACGTAAACACAATTAGCCGTTGGATGGGAGATTTTAAAACACGCTATTTAACATGAGGTGCATCAAGAAATCACAAGTGAATGACTCGTCGATGGGGAAACAAACAATCTCTGCTTGAAATGACCTAACATATTTATTAGCTATTTGTACGATGCAGCTTACAACTTATTTCCTCTTCATTCCCATTCACTGGAATTGGGAAGCTGTAGCTAACGGACACCAAATATTTCACTTTTAGCAGATGATTTATCTAGCTTAGCTAGGACGTGTAGACATTTTTTTTAGGCAGCATAGAATGTATGCGTTACATAGCAAATTTTAGCTCCCACGTTTTTTTCATAGTTCTTTTACTATATCAAAACTGAATCCTCGTCCCGAGTGGCTGAGGCATTTAGCCTCGCAGAGTGCGGGTAGAGATAAAAAGACCATTTTAAAACCGCACGGATTTATAACAGAGTAAAACCTGGCATTCCTCACCTTAGCGCATGCTTCTCCCCTCTAGAGATAAGCGTGAACCCTGAGGTGGTAACAACTCGTCCAGGCTCGACTGTGCGTTTCTTCTGCACCCTGACCCTGGCCGATGGGGGAGCAGTGTTAGGTGGTGTCACGAAGGTCTCATGGTTCCGCAAAGACCGCCGCTCACTTAGTCCTGGTCGTGAAGAAATTATTGCCGGCACTACCACGAGAAATGCCGCTATTCTTGTGGTCAAGAACGTGGACAGTGACTTCAATAACGTCGTCTACGTTTGCACCGACGGGGTATGGCCGCGAGAACGTAAAATTTTCTCACAAGCCCCTATTTGACCAACTGCACTGTTTCTCTTTCGTTAGTTTCGTGGGGCTGAGGCGAAAATTCTGATTCAGGAGGTCTGTGGCCCAGGTGAACGTTCATGTGGTGGTGACAAGTGTATTCCGGAAAGTCTCTTCTGCAATGGTGTTCCCGATTGTCCTGACGGATCCGATGAAATTCCCGAACGCTGTCGTAAGTGCCCTCAATCAAGAGTTGCTTTATCTAAAACATTCGTAATTAAACAATCGCAAAAGACGTGCAATATTGTCCTGATCTCCAAAACTCACTGCGATTGGAAACATTAATTTTTGCCTTTACAGAGAGTTCACCTTCTAGGGGGCTGTTTAATCAAAGCATTGCGAGAAATTAATTTGTTAGATAAATGGGATTGCGAAACCGAAAAAAAAAGAGCTTGAATCCTCCGCGCAGCACAGATTCAGTAGGTCATATTTCATTCCTCCAATTTGCAAACTTTTAAAGAGAATTCCCATACGCAGAACACACGCGCATCCTTTCGTGAAAATGGATACATTTTGGAACAAAATAAAAGCGGAAGCTTTTTTCCCTTCTGCAAATCTTCAAATTCTATGCATAGTCATATGTGTTGTAGGCGAGTGCAAATATTTCTCATGTTGCAGGGAAATTTTCCTTACCCCCATTCGTTCCATTCAGTGTGCCTGCGTTTAATGTATTCGTACAAGAAAGCATTACAACAGATGTTGGAACTCTTCAGACGCGGTGCTTTTTTGCTAGGGAATAACTACCGAGAAAAAAATCGTGTTTAACACTCCTTTCTAATGCTATCGAAATCGCATCTCGGTGGGGGATGCTAGGGAGCCTTACCCTTGAAAGTGTTAGTTGACGCAAGGGGACCGTGGCACACATAAATCTAAACGGGAAAGTGTTGGCCATTAATTAATTTGCACTATTAGTAGGATAAGTTTCTATTTTCCATTTCTTTGGAGCCATGGTAGTGGTCAGCTTGTTCGATTAATACAACCCTGCATCACCATTTGTCGGGTTTTTTCAAAGAGGTATGAGGTGTGGGACTATCTGGCCAATGAGATAGGTCCTTTTAAAAATCCACCGCGAATTCCTGCAACCTGATCTAATTTTACCTTTTCTTTAAGGTGAATGCGAGCCAAATCAGTACGCTTGCTTGGCAGTAGATGGTAAAGACCCCTCACGCTTCTGCTACCTCCGCTCTTGGCACTGTGATGGCGAAGATGACTGTGGAAATGGATTTGACGAAGCCGATTGTCCAGGTGGTTATTCACTCAAATACCCTTAGGTCATAAAATCGTCACAAGACTGTGGATCTTAAATATAGGCATAAATAATTTCAACAATGCTTTTCGTCCTCCCTTGATGTAAAGCGGAAATTAGCTGGACACATTTTGCGACTTCCATACAACTCGACCAGGTTTTAACCTCTAAAGAGATTTATTGCTATGTAATATGGACCTGTGTTCTTTGTTTACACTTAGCACCAAACCTCGATACACCCTGTAGCAACAAGTTTTACATCTGCCCCGACGATCAACGACCAATTCCTCGCTCTTACCTCTGCGATAGTCAGATTGACTGCACTCCTTCCGGGAGCGATGAAATCAGTTGCAGTATGTTAACACTTTTTTTAAGAAAAATAAACTGGAGGGTCGTTTCTGAAGACCATCACCATGGAGAACCATGTTCAACCATACTTCAGGCCGACCAAGTGTGATCTACCCTCCTCGAGGTCAAGACGTGATGGGGATTAAAGGGACGAATGTGACTCTCAAGTGCGTTGTTCACGGACGTCCACTCCCCTCCATCAATTGGCGTTTCAACTGGGGTCCCCTCAAAACCGATGTCGACTATGTGGAAAACGTCACCGTTGAGGGCTGTGATCGTGTCACCAGCTACCTTACATTGATCAACATTGATCCACGAGCTAGTGGAATGTACACCTGTGAAGCTGTGACCTACCAAGACCGTGTACTAGCTCCTGATTACACAGTTAATGTTGGTGGTAAGTGCGCATCATTATCATAGCAATATACCCTCGGAACGCATCGGCTTGGTGTGAATGCGGTATTATGCAGTGTGAAAACTTTCGCAGGCATTTATCAACATTAAGGTGCAGAATAAATCGCTGGAGATAGCTGCGGTGTTTGTGGTGTTTATGCCCATAAAACAAATGCAAATCCGGGTTCTGCGCTACATTTGTTTATACTACACACCTACTTGAAGGGGATGACTTATTTGTTTACCTTTGGGTTCCGGTTACGCGATGAGACCGTGCATTGCTGGTCTGCTTGTTTGGTCAGATATCTCAAACTAATTGATTTTAGGATGACAAAATAATAAGGAACTGTTTTTTATGCAATCTAAGACCTGTTTTTCGATTATTTTACGTTTGAGAGTACTCAAGCGTGAATTAGAAACCGTGTAGAATAAGTTAACCTAGCAGATCTGTTTACGAATGTAATGTAATAGCCTTTACCGTTTAGCGGGAAGCTACTGTTCCCTGCCAAAGTTCAACGATGCAGCGTGGAACGAGGACATGTGTCTTGACTGCTACTGCGCAGGTGTCTCCAATAACTGCACAAGCCTCCGTGGATACTCTCTTGCACCTGTATGTAGTTACATTTTAAGAGGTGTTAAGAAAATGTCAAGTCAAGTAAGAGTAATGACAAATGTTCGGAATGTTTCGAAAGATTTGAAGTAGGCAGGAGTATTATTTTAATTAGAAATGATATTTATATTAAATCATTGAGTGGCAGCATCGAAATACACTTCCATCGATATTGGTTCACCGAAGTTGCGGTGGATAACTCCAATTTGGATGCTTTTCAGAATGGTAATGTCAACATCAAGTATTTGAGGTTTCACCTAACGCATGTCGTTATGGTCAGATCCAATCTTGAGTGCACAAAAGATGTATGAATGCTCCAAAGTAAATAAAGCCACGGCCAGATTATCAAACCGTCGAATATGCCATTCACGTAATTGGCAAACAATTTGTAAATTGTGCGGAGTTAAGTAGGGTCTGGCTATAAATCAAACCTTTGGCGGGGTCCAATGTATTGCAAACATTGAACCGTCAATAGGTTTAATAAAGAAGCATAAACAAACTGAATGAAATAACAGGAGAAGGAAGTAATTTATGGCAGTGACTGGAATGGTTCACCAAATCCTTGAACAGTTTTACACCACATTTTCATTGTTTACATCTCAGGGATCAGCCGATAAAAGCTGTCACTTGGGTCCGCTCGTGGGTTGTTAGTACACCTAAAAACCGAAATTCTACAAGCCGTCATTGTCAGAAAGTCAATCCCAGATTATTGCATATCAGAGAAATAAATTCGATCTTTTGGATTATCTTACAGACGAATCACTTAAAGACCAAGTCATCTTTATAATTAGGAATGGTGGACAATTAGTCTAATCAAATTCTAGCATGCTTGTCCCCCTAGGATATAAGCAATAAACATTGTCAGCAGTTCTGTGGGACTCTGATAAGATAAACGGAAATGTTTCGTTAGTGTGTACGTACTGCTGCTGGATACATGAGAATGAACCATTCGTCGTTTCAAAGTTAAGCTGTTGTAGTACAAGGACTTTGCTAAGCAAGACGAGTTATTTCTCTTCAGTCGGATAAAATGGCAAAGAGCTCAATCGAGGATGTGCGGCTGGTGCAGTACGACTCGGAGGATAAGCTGATCCCAGGTGAGCTGCAGGGACTTCAGTTGACTGATGCTACAATCTCAGTTACCGTCCCCAAGGCCAATCACACCTACTTGGAGGGAACGTTTGGACTCAACGGCGATTGGGTAATCACAACCCTGGCATTTTAGTTGCCTTTCTTAACTCCATTTAGTCGGTTAGAAACTCTAGTTGAATTTTTGGGCATTAGCAAAGCCTTAGCCCAAATCCCAAAGCAGTTAAATTTTGCCGCGTTGCCTTCATCTATGGAGGGTATACCATCGCAGGTCTCCCATTCTTCTCAAGGAGGTCCTACATACATTCTGCCCGGATTGTAGTGATAAGCCTTAGTTGAAATAAAGAAGTTATTTTAAAGAAAGCCAATGACAATTTCACAATTTAAAACATTTGTGCAGCTTTTAATACTGAAGGAGTATTCGTCCTGTTCGAGTTTTGTAAAGGCATGCCCTTACCCTCTGAGGTGAAAGCTACGAAAGAAGTCTTAATATTAGGACGACGTGCAGATGGGCTGAAGGGGAAGGTTGGGTACCGACATGGTCCGGAGACCGTGCCACCCGGCAGAAGTACAAATTCAGAGCCTTAATTGCCTGCGAGGCCAAAATGAAGTGTAAAATAAACGAGCGTCATTCTCAGCGCTCCTTTTGGACAGCCCCCGGCGTCGGCCATCAAAACCAAGTCGTTGCTGCAAGAGGAACGCCCACTCCACTCATCGAATTTGCGTGTAACTGAGACGATATATGACCGTCGCATTGTAACAATGAAAATATATTTCTACACCGATCAATCAGTACAGGCTGTATCTTGGTGGATAAGGAACTGTTCTCCCCACGATCTTTTAAAATTATAAGAAAAAAATATTCTAGAAGGGGACGTGTATCCGCAGGAGTTATCCTACTTTTCACTCAGTTCGGTGTTGCAGTCAATTTTAGCTAATCTGGTTTGAATTTATTTTCCTCTTTGCAATGTAGACACCATTCTTGAACCATATTACACAATACTGTGACTAGATTCCTCAAAGCATTGTAGGTAACCCAGCCCCAATTCTGGCATCCATTGTATTTTATACACCTTTCTGGGTACTGATCAGATAAAAAAGTGCCGCTACATGAGGCTAAGTTCTCCCCATCGGAAACACAGTAAATCGCTTTTATCCCCACTATGAATTCTCACTTGCAGCACTATGATTGTTTTTCATATTTCTGCTTTTCAGACTACCTCCTACAGCCTCTTTTTGAAGGCCAATATCACGCTAGTGGGTCCAATGGAGGACTACCAACCATTCGCAGCTATTGTTCTTGAGGTTAGTTCCGATTTGTTCAGAGCGTCCGTAGAGTCAGTACCTATTCTCTCTCGGTTCCTAAAATAGGCTGGCCAAATTTGATATCCATGATGGTGATTCCGACTACTTTCCCATTCTTTTCTTCTAACTGCTAACTCACAGAGTTTTTTTTTCGGTTATTAAATCCAGTGGGGTAATGTTGCAGAAACTGTGAAATGAAGTGATGATGGGAAAGCTGTGACGTCGTAGAGTAATGATGAATGTCCGCCCCTCAGTTCCGCCTTATCGTCGTGCCGAAGAAGAATACTGTTTTGGAAAGACTAACTTAGTCTTAGCACATCTCACTACGGTCCAGATGAATTTCGATTCACATGGATGTTTTCTAGCCGCTACCTAAAATAATGCAGCGAGCTGTAAATTGATCAGAATTAATTGTCTTTAGGGCAATGGGGAAACTATCTACTATTGCGGGTCGTCAACTCGACCAATTCTGTACACCGATGCCAATGGCTACCAGAACCAGCTCCAAGTTCGTCCCACTGAGCGCAACGGCTGGGTGACGGGTGGTCCCCATTGCGAAGAAAATGTGGTTACACCCAGCCGTGAACAGATGATGAAGCTGTTGTCGAATGTAGAGAAGATCCGCTTCCGAGTAAATCCATACGCAGGTCAGGAGATTTACAAATTGGAGGATATTCGACTGGAGCATGTTGTGCCTACGGACGCTCCTGGGACGCTCTACCCTGAGATTGAGTTCTGCACGTGTCCTGAGGGCTACAAGGGGCTCTCGTGTCAGGTTGGTTATACTATAGTAGAATAAAATATCATCCATGAAAGAGATGTTACGATCTAAATGGATAGTCATGCTTCCTTATATCGAAAAATCAATGTTTACGTTGCTAACCAGCGGAGGTGGGTCTCACAGTAATAAAGATCTCTTTTCCTACCTAGCAATGCGAGAGAGGTTATAAGCACGATCCAAAAGATCCAACCAAATGCCGTTTGGCGTGTACATGCGAGGAGTGCGATGCTGAGGGCAACTGTATTGCCTGTCCGGGCAACGCAACAGGACCGGACTGCAGCGAGTGCCGGGTCGGCTTCTATCGCCCTCTCGACAGGCCAATCACGTCTCCCTGTCTGCCCTGCGAAAAGTGCGGCAGTGGTTTACCTCAGTATGTATTTTTTATCAATTGAAAACACAGAAATCGAGGTGTTTGTAGTGCTAGTAGTCTAAAGTTCCCATCGGAGATAATATGTTCTATTAAAGATAGATAACCCTTCGTTGAAGGTAAACGCCAATTCCCTTTCCTTCCAGTGTTAGCACTGAGTGTACGGCAGACCCGCAGTCACTAGATGGTTATCAGTGTCGATGTGAGGTGAGGGAGGATGGACGCTTGTTGGACGAATCCTGTGACCTCTGCAAAACTCTTATGTCTCCACCACCAGAGGCAAAGTGTGAAGAACGCTCGGAGTTGCTAAACCTTTGCAATCCCCTGGGAACTGAAAGCATCACTACTGTTGAAATTTGCAATTGCAAGGTGAGAGCTAAACGTGGACTTTATAAGGACATTTAGGGGTTATTGGGTTATCAAAACTATAACCAGTTTGCTTACCCAAGTTGTTGAATGCAATTCGTGGATTTTTTTGTAGGAAGGTTACAAGGGTGATCGATGCAGAGAGTGCTCTGAAGGATACATGAAATACGGCGAAAAGTGTCTGCCTTGCTTCTGTGCTGGCACAACCAAATCGTGCAAGGGCTCGGAGACGCACTTTTTTGAAAATGTTTCACTCGTAAGCTGTCCTCCCTACCTTGGTCCTCGGTTTATCATAAGGCGTAGAATCAGTATAATACCGCTTGTTTGAACTTTAAGCTACTGTACCATCATGATTTAGTTGTTTCTCTGTGCATTTAATAGTCGAATCCAGGGCGATACAAATTCGAAGTCTTTATGTCGAGAAAGTTGGCAAACGGCGAGCTTGTGGCAGTCCCTCTTGACGACACTGGCAAACAACGGGTAGAACGTGCCTATGCTCTTTCGAATAAAGATAAATTGGGACCTCCTGAGGACCTTGTTATTCGAGAGCCCCTAATCAGTGATGGCATTTCACAGGTCTCCATTAAACTCAGCGATACTCAAAGGGGTGATACTAAAGCCGATCTTCCCGTTTACGTAAGTTGGGTTACAAATACCTCCTAATTATTTTTTGTCTAGACTTGGTGAGCATAACTCTCCATATCTCTTCTTTTTTGTTAGCGATCTCTATACGGAGGCAAGATGTCGTTTCGATTCAAGCGCGTCCGAGAAGTAAACCATCAACCTACTGTCAGTGAGAACCGACTGATCGCAACGATTGAGGTAATGCTACCAAAAAAAAATTTATGCAGTCTTCTATAAAGTGGATTTTCATATATGCTTACTTCACCAGCCATCTATTTGCGTGAAAAGGGAAATGCCAAAAAACAGTCAAATAGTTAATTATCAAAAACTAAAGGAAGCTCCATGCAATATTTTGGGAACTGGATAGTTAACACACACGTAGAGCATGAAGGTACAGAATTTTAGACCCTCTTTTTAAATATACTGATTTCACTTTGGGATCTGGGTTACTCCTGAGAGCGTTATAAATCAGGAATGCAGATCTAGCTGCATCGGAAGCATACGAAGAGCTGGGTAATTACTGGCATAAGCGGTGTGAATAGGGAACACTCTCAGCATTGTAGAGGTTAAATTATGGCGCCAGTATGAAAACAAAGTTGCCATCAGTCGAATTCAGCTTTTTAGTCATACCTACTTTAGTCACCCAAGTTTGGAACATTCTGGACGACCGCTGTATTCAATCCCAGCAACCAGCGCTATGAGGTTGAGTTCAGTGAGGACTGGTGGAATGGCAGATGGCGGGCACAGAATGTTGAGTTGTCCCGAGCCGCTTTACTTCGAGTCTTGGCTACAGCCAGTTCAATCGGCATCTCCGTGGCCTCAAACAAAAACGCCCTTGAGAACGCACGAATTGGTGGTCTATCATTTGAAATTGCCCGTGATTTTGCCGATGCCTTGGCTGTGGCTAAGGATGAGGGATTAAGGCCTGCTCCTGTAGAAGTCTGCGATTGTAGTCCCACAGAAGGCAGAAGCCTTTCCCCCAGTTGTGAAGTGAGCATTTTTTTACTTAAGCATGACCATGTTTGAACCCAACCTACTCTTATTTATGTACTTTATCTTTATGCTGCCATGAAGTCCTGTTACGTTCCACATATGAAACTTCTACTCAGTGTGTTATAACGGAGTCTCTAGTTGATATAACCTGGATCCGATCGGGCTCTTAATCGGATGGCCAACAGATAAGACCTCATAGCAAATATCTTGATTGTTGATGTAATTAGTAAACAAAGAGTGTATGTCCGTTGTGCACGTGTCCGGAGCCTAGAGAAGCGAGACTGGCTGAGTGTGAGTCTGGATATCGGTAGTTTCTGTAACGCATATTTTTAGCAGCCGATTGTTCATGGCCTTTGGGTGATTATCAGTGCACTCAGGATACCTCTCTACTTGGCATGGGCCAATTAGGAGGGGCTGAGTGATTGTGCAACTCTCTTGAACTTTTGAAGATTAGTAACCGTTTTGAGCTTTCGGATAATCAACTAGGAACATTATTTCGAGATCGCGGGCATTTCTGCGACCTAGCCCCTAAGCTGCTAGGAAATCTGATCTTCTTTGAATTGAAGACTGTTGGTTTTGCTCAGGGCTGCACCAATCCCTCTGAGTCAACGGAGGTGAATCTTGATCCCTCAGGACCTGACTTCCAATGTGGCGAATGCAAAGGACCTCAGTGTGTCACGTAGGTTTTGCTTTCTGTGATATTAACGTCCCCTTCCAACCTTGCAACGATATCGACACCACAATTCATGACAAAATTATTTATCAGCGGACATCTTTAAAAAGATGGCTGAATCCAGATCACATTCAATCGAAACCGGGATTCATGGAATTTTTAATGTTTTAAACTGCCAATGCCCATTAGATATTTAAAAGCACTTTCAGTATAGTAGTTTTGTCAGTATATGAGGACTAATACAGGATACTGCTTTTTTTCATCATCAGGCTGAAATGGTTGTCAACTTCATTAATTCCAGTGGTTTCATTATCATTTTGATTTGATAGTGAAATGATGGACTCGGGTTATTCACACGGAATAGTTTGGTCTATTATCAGAGCATTCCTTTGACACTGAAAATTATTCAATGCTTTCGAATTCATCAAGAACAGAAAGCTGTTCCGGTACGCAGCGTGCGCTAACTGCTCCAAGTTGACTATTAAGTGTTCACAGGACCGAAGGATCGCTATGTGTTGGTAAATACAACGGGCAGTATCATCACCGATAAGCACACCATTCGATCGTCTTACTGTAGCTAAGCTCCCTATCATCAGTCTGTGCACTGGGGAAAATTAATGAGGAAACTTGTCACATACTACTGAATAGCCATTGGCATCCTTCTGTAGGCTCTTAAATTAAAGGTCCCGATTTGACTTGAACACGCCCCACATAACCCAACAACTATTAGATGATTTATTTGATCTTTTTATTACTGTCCTGATTAACGAAACTTTTTTATTTTAGGTGCCCAGCTGGGCAATTCAAATACGACTTCCTAACAAATACCGTCTACGATACTTGCCAAAAGGGTGCGTTTTTATTAGAAGAAGTAACATCTTCATTACGCTTTTGCAACAGATGAGATAGAATTCTGATATAGTGCGACCTAATGATACGGAAGTGCATTCTTTTATTTACTGAGAGAAAGTGGGAAACTCTGTACAATTGCTTAACTTCACTGATGCTGGGGATACGTTTGATATAGCATTTAGTAGTCTCAAATCCCCTCTGAGGATTGGATTAGTGATCCTTTTTTCATGCCATTTATAAATGGTTTTGTTTGCCATCTCCAGGCGTCGAGATGGGGACAGAAGGTCGAGTGGTGGTAGCTGAGCCCGGTAGTCGTGTTGTGCTGACCTGTCGTGCGACTTCTTACCGGGGAGGCATTCCAGTTCACACCTGGAGTCTGCCCGCCCTTGTGGCCGATTCACCCGACGTCACTATCAGACGTGAGCTCTTGCCCTTCAAGCCGCGTTCCGAAGATGGCAAATGGAGTCCAATTACATCTGAAGCACAGTTGCAAATTGAAAATGCTAAGGAGGAGTACTCGGGTCTCTATGAATGCCAAGTAGCCGCTTTGGGAGCAAATCTAACCGAGCCGTTCTACCTCATCGTCAGGGATCCAGGTATAACTCTCAACTTAGGCTTTCATCTACATTTGGTAGCATGTTTGAAGCATTACAAGTTACGATTTCTTTGTAGCCAAAGAGCAGCCAAGTGAACCAGGATACAAGTTAAATGAAGAATTCCCAGTTCCAATGCCCGTACCCGATGCGCCACCATTTGCCGAGTATCTAACAATGGACACTGATGAACAAGATCCCAACATCGCAGTAATTGAAGGAAAAGCTTCGCCAGTGCGTTTTATATTGTAGCAATTTATTGAGACTAATCCCCCTTACTAATGCGTTAACAATATGTTGTAGCCCAACAGTCTGGATGACTTCCACATTGTATGGTTGGCTCCCAACGGAACTCAGATAACACCGCTTAGCAATCCAGTAGTTAATCCAACAACCAGCGAATTTTCGGTCCGCCTGCCAGTCGACTCTGGTAAATTGACTGAGAAAGGAGAGAAAATTTACGGTTTCCTTGTGGGAAGAGATCCCGTCAAGACGCCCATATGGATACCTCTCCCAGAGTTAACTAGAGTCAAGCAGCCCGTCACACCTGGTAAGTAAAAATTACCATTGGTTTAAGTCTAATTTTGAAGTGAGAAAGTAAAATTTTAATTATTTTAAGTCAAATCCTCGAAAGCACGAAAACTGGTCGGTTAATTATGATTAAATAACTCGGGAAGTACACTTTACTTCTTTTCGTTCCTCTAGAGACTGTCTCAAAAATAAGACTGAGTCATCGTTTCCTCAATTTGTCCTTCCTTGAGCCCGCTAAGGTTCGGGTCCTCATCCCTAATGGGAAGCCCAAAAACGTCAAGATAAAGTGGCAGCGCCTAGGCTCACCGCCATTAGAGAGCTCCGACTTCCCCCAGGGCATGGAAGTCAATCGGGACGGTGATTTAATCATCTATGCTGCGGGTGAAGAGCACGAGGGCGTCTATGAAGCCACTGTCACCATTCCGGAGACAGGTGACGTTATCAAATTGCGCACCACGGTTAATGTTCAGCCCTGGTCACCGCCAACGGTGGTTCCAGTACCTCCAGGACAAGCGGGAGAGAACCCCGAGGAAGTGAAAGATGTGGAACCACCTCAACCGACGGCCGACGATGCCTTTGTCTACTATGTTTCCGGTTTCACTCCTGATTCACCACATTGTCAGAGACCCAGGTGGATGCTAATGGATGAGGTTCAGAATACATCTAAGGATATCACAACAAAAGGTGTGCACACAGTCTCTAGTTTTATAATTTACTTCGTGTAAAACTTTTTACAGCTCTTATTTTTTTCCTTCAGTTAACCGAGAAAATGAGCGGAAATTCGTCATCAACTATCCGTTGGCTGGTGGCAAGTATATCAAATTTGAATGTCTTCCGGTGCCCACGACCAATCTTTCCGGATCGCTTCAATTCAATATCGGTGGGTCACTGGTATGGACTACTCTTAAATGGTGTTTATCTCCCATAGATGGTTCTAGAATTGCTTACAATCTTTTATGTATAAAAAACGGTGCTGACTTCCAAAAGCCACTTTTTATACTACCTTTAGAATCGCCTGATCCTCGGGTTATACTTGTGCCCAAGTATGACGACCCGCATTCGATCTTCCCTACAAGACTTATCTGTGCTGAGGGCAATCCGGATGTTAGTGCAACTGTGAGGATAACTTCTGACAGTTTGGACCAAAATCAAATCAAGGTACTTTTAATTTACATAGTTTTTAGATTTTCGCGTTTTCCCTGACGGTAAGGTCAGAAGTGGCAACTGGGCCTTGTCAACTCTGTGTTGATTATTTGTTTTTAATTATTACGGCTATTACAATTGGGAAGTGTACCAAGTAACTTATTCTCAATTATAATAGCTAAAACTGCATTATCAGCAAACAAGGCTAAATGAGCTGACTACAAGCCCCATGGATCATCTGCTCTTATAAAAACCTTTAATACTCTCCTTCAAAGGCCCTGGAAAAGCCAAGACCGGAGGATTCTGAGAGAGTGGAATTGGATTGGCGTCGTGTTGGTGGATTCCAGCCCTCCAAACACTTAGAAAATTACACCTGTGAAGTGCGGACTCCGACAAGAACGGTTGAGAAATCAGTTGTCATCAAACCGAGGCTACCACCGGAGGGTAGGTCGTAAATTCATACTGTGGTTTGTATCTGGACTTTTATAAAGCTGATAAAGTCCCCTCACTTTTAGGCTTAATAGAGATGATTCAAAGGAGACAACCGAAATTGAGGATCTCTTCGCCGGGCCGGATCCTCACCCATCAAGGGGATGATCACTACCGACTGGATGTCAGAGAAGGCCAGCCAGTGCAGGCACGTTATCTTCATCTATTTGAGTCCAATTTATGGTTAATTACCGCTTTGATAACGCTATACATGCATGCGGTGTACAAGGTTCCGTTTCATCACTTCTACATATCTAGCCAGTAACTTTCAATCTCCATAGCTCGTTGCCGAATACGATTCCGCCTCGGATACTGGTGAAATCACCTGGTCGCTGGATGATTCAACCGATGTGCCAGAAATCACATCAGATGGAGGACATTCGTGGACAAAAGTCAACATCGCTGAGATACCCACTATCTTTGATGATAAAGTCCTCAACTTTGCCATTAATACTCCTGATGGAGTAAAGAGTGCCAAAGTCACACTAGCAGGTTAGTTTCTTGCCTTGGATTTAGTGATTTGCGCACTCACATCAACAATAACAAATCGCTTCTTTAAATTTTTAGTTGTTCCCGATGAAAGACCTTTCGCGATCGTTCATTTAAACAGCTCAGCACTTGTTAACGGTGATCTAATTGGACTGACGCATGGAAACATGGATATTGATGTGAAGTCATTCGGTGAGTCGTGACAACGACTTTATGGGTATCAAGCGAAAGCGGTTTGGCACTTTTTAACTCTACCTACGGTACAGCTTGAGCTTATTCCATGCAAATGAAGCTGACAGGTGTTTTGAAACTAACCAAAGATAGATTTACATGACTTTTGAAAGTGAAGCATTTGATTAAGCAAATAGCTGCATTGCATCTAAGTAATCAAAGCCACCTATTAAATTCCGTCACCAAACTAGACAAGCTAGGTTCCCATTCTTGCCCCGAACTAGGTGACTAGACTTACCATCGCAAAATCAAATTTTTCCCAGGTCCCGATGGATCTGAACTGTCCAAAGATCTGGAGACCTCCTGGCGCATCACACAGGCCAATGGAGCACCAGTGAAGCTTGACGACGGTATCCTGGCTCAGCGATACACCATACCATACCCCTCTCGTCTCGAATTACAGGGTCTGCCGCGTCAGCCCACTGAATTCCGCATTTCTGCCGTCGTCATTGTTCCCATGGGTGATAAAAAGGAACTCTTCACCTCAGTTCCATACCGCCTTATCGTACGGGAGCCCCTAATTAAGGCCTACATTCATGGTTTAACAGAACCTGGAGTGCTCTCTGGATCGGAGCTAGATACCGTCGGCGCTACCTGCGTTGCGCGAGGTAATAAAATGCATGGAGTTTTACGAGAGGGTGTTTACAAACTGCAAAATTTATTGGAAGTCATTGCTAGCTCACTTAGTAAATAAGCTGGCTAAAGAGAAGTTTAACTGTGTTTTGAATATCTAGTACAACCCACAGACCAAAAGTCAACCACAGGAAGCTTACTTATTGTATTACTTCATTTTCAGACATCTGGCGTAACCGCACAGTGGAGGACGTCACTTACGACTGGGACTATATCGTTCAACCAGAGGGAGGGGCCAATGAGTTGCGAACAACCTCTGACAAAGTTGAACCTGATAAGGCGACTCAGGCCGAGCTGCCGTGGTCAGTTTTGACCTTCCAAGACAACTCTGTCTATATGGGCAATTTAAGGAGTCGCCCTGGTTGGATCACACATCTTCGCTGTCGAGCAAAGACAAGTATTGATGATCGGCCTGTGGTTTCTGACTGGTTCAAGCTGAATGTCATTCCTGGTGATATGGGTGAGTTAGCATGAATGAAAGATCTAATTTTGCAGGGACTAGACGGTACAGCAGCTTATTAAAGCTGTAGAAAACTGTTTTGATACTGATAATTGATGTGAAGTTGAGACCATTTTATTCGTTTAGCTGCCAAATTCCCTAAGATCGAAATCCGTTCAACATTTGATGCTGCAATCTCCCGCTTCCCTGTCAAGGTCGAATGTGTGGACACGAATACGGAGGTACCATCCACGGTGACATGGTCCAAAGATGGTCAGAGACTGCCCCCATCGGTATGGTTGAACTTAGGCAATCGTGTTCTCGCTAACGCTCAGTGTCTGTTATAGTAGATGAGTAACAATTTGTAACCGTAGCAAGTTAAGATTTCGACTAATGTCAGAACAGAAAGAAGTTGACGCAGGTAATGGATGAATACCCTTACATCTGTATCCAATGCCTGAATTTTAAGGTAATAATAACTCGCCTTTAGGTTAAAGTTGAGGCTGGAGAAAACACGGCTTCTCTATCCTGGTCAGTTGACGAATCGAATGAATTTTCGCCTCGTGAACTGGCAGGCGTGTATGTATGTGAAGCGAAGAACGAATTTCGAACTGCTACTGAACGCCTATTCCTCCCGTCCGACATAATGGAAAGGCATGGTAAGCTCCAAGGGCCTCAGTTAGTAGTATAATTGATAGAGTCTTTTTTTCACACTTGTTTTACTCTTAAGCATTGTATAAGGCATGCGAATTAAGAATAGTCTTTATTTTAAACAGTTAGAGTTGGGAGACAAGTGGTATGTATGGTGAAAGCTTAAATATTGTTCTCTCACCACAACCCCTATCATGTCTTGAAGGCCTTTTCCGGTGTTGCTTGTGACACCTCTTTTATTTTTACCATCACAATAGCTGACAAATGAATTAAAATCAGAGGTGAGACGGACTAGAAGACTTCCTGATTTACCGGTAACGAGATAAATTAATTTAAATTGTTGGGTTCCCCACGAGCCAAATGCGTCGGAAATACTTACTTGGAAAGTACTGAACACAGAAGTGCCATTAGAGCTGTTCCCCCAAAACGAAAAGACTCTTTTCAGTGAAATTTACAATATGAAGTAGCGTACGGCGTTTTAATACCTAACGCCAAAACATCTACCTGCTCTGTTTTCTGACTGTGTAAGCACGTGGACACTTCAGCCCTTCAGTACTTGCTTTACCCAATCATTTCAGACCTCGGTGTACTACTGACTCTCATGCAGTAATAGAGGTTATGACGATTGTATAAATTTGGTGTGATTTTATTAGTCATTCCACCCACCTGTATGGGAAGCAATAGACCCATCCGTCTCAAAATGATCCTTTAGTGAGGCACTAGCTAAAAACATCTTCATAAGGCCCTAATCCTAACTCACCACACACGAGTCAGCTATTAATTCATAATGGAGATACTCTCCTGAAAAATGATGTAAGATGTGCGAAAAGAATTCCATGCCGTTGTTGTTGTGACAGCTGAACCAGTGAAAGCTGAAAGACCAGTTGACGAGTTCAGTCTTTCATTATCATTATTTCCATTTCAGAGCGGGAAAAGACCCCTGTCGACAGGGAGTACATTCGTATCAAATCAACGCATTCTCCAGTTGAGGAGGTCGATGGGAAGAAGTATGTGACTGTCGAAGAAGGTGAACCATTTCAGGTGAGATTTTGCTGTATAAGTTGTTTCATCTCAGCATTGTTACCGTGATTGCACGTTAAAGATATCCAGACAACACTCAGAATAGTGCAGTTAATTAACGAAGATTTACAGCCCATAGTCACGGGTTGTAAACAGTATTTTATAAAATTTTCATAAGCACCAGCAACTTGTAAGAACTGGCAGATATTTACAAGAGTGTTCGTAAATTTATCCCAATTTTGCTACCCTCAGCTTGTTTGTGAGTACTACGGCTATCCACCACCAGCGGGCGGAGTGAGCTGGCGTCTCAATCACAATGGCGGTGAAGGGTCAACCAATGCTGCGCTGGCCAAAATCAGCGGTCTTGCTTGGGAGCGCGGTCGCAACTACTGGGCCCTGATACAGTCTAAAGCCTTCAATCGGTACGCACCACAGACAGGTGTCTACACTTGCGAAGCGCTTGATGAATCTGGACGCGTTCTCGCTTCCAATGCGGTCAATGCTGATGGTAGGTTTTACCTGTAACACAACGGTGTGAATCCTGATGTCAGTAATTAGAAATAACCGCCTGTGGAATAACCTTCAATCGGCTATCACAAGCAGTTTCTGGCACCACTAACTCGTCCTGCAGTACGTTGCTTACAGGGAAGCCTGCTATTCTTCAGCTTCTGCATACATAGAAGAATTCTCTTTACTTTTGCATTGTAAACACTTTCACGTCTAGCTTCTGACTCGTTTTAACATCTCGATTCACTTTAGTACCTGTAAAGGACTATAACATTGAAGTGGAGGGATTGGACGACTTCGGTGTGCTTCATCTTCAACCAGGTGGAGACGGCCGTGTCAGCTGTCGTGTAAAAGGTTCGTAAGGGTTTTGGATACAAGATACGATTAACCATAAACTATCTTTATCAAGTGCTTTGGTCGATTGTAAGGAACGTGTCGAGATCTCAGCCTCTATATTGCAGACTAATACAAAGGACGGGCATTATATCAGTTGGCAAGATAACAACTCAAATACTCAGCAACTGTGTTGCATAATTGTCAAAATAAGTAGTATGGGATTGAGTCGAATAAGTATCATTGGACTTTTACCCATATATTACATAAAACTCCCCTAACGATTTCAAAATACTACCATCTTCCCTTTCCAACAATTTGTATTCAACTCCTCACTCATTCTTAATGACCGCTTTACAGATCCTGCGACCGGCAAGGCTATTCTTACCTTCGGCAGACTGAAGAAGCTCGAATGGGAAGGCCCCATGGTAGAAGCGGAGAGTGTTAAATCACTGAACGATTTGGCACGCGAAGTTCACATGTCAGGAGAAGATCTTAGTTTCCGCGGTGTCTATGCCGATTTGCCAGAGGGAATGAGGGGCAAATGCGCTTTCTGGGATGGAAAGGTTCGCAAGGAATCCAAACCCTTCCCAATTGTTGTTACGGGAGAAGGAGGTAAGTGCGCACTCATTAGAGATTCACAATTCCTATAAAGCTTAATAACTTAGTGATCTTTAGGATCTACGGAAGGATATCGTTTTTTTAAACAAACTGGACCCTTCTCTTTAGAACAGTCAACCTAAGGACGAGACTTCCGTTAAAACAGCTTTCATAGCCCAACACGCTACTAGGATCTAGGCACAACTGCATACCTTACTGCTTTGATAACAAACTGTATCCCTTGTAGGCACAGACGGAAAAGTTAAGGCGATCGTTGAAGTGCTTCCCGGGGAAACGCCAAACCAACTCAAATTCCAGTGCAATGCTTTCGGTGTGTTATACCCAAACAATTACATTCTCTTGTATTGCTTTTGGCAGAAAGCTTTATTTTATGTTTATAACGGCTTGCGACCGAACTCTGACCATGTATAACTTTTTTTTTATCATCATGCAGACACATTTGAGGGTCGACACCTGAAAGATGCCACCGTGTCCTGGTACGTCACAACTCCCAGCGGCAATGAGGTTCTCCTTGGTCACTTATTCAAGGAAATCAAAATAGAGGGCAATGTGATCGTTATGACTGCTCTTCGGGATGATGTCGACCTCTTGGTTCTATCTGGTGGTGATTCAGTGGTAGAAGGTCGTTGTATTGCCTTCATACCGCAGACAAACAAAAGCTACCCATCAAAACCATTCTTAACCATTGGTGCCAAGGATGCAGATAAAAAGCCTGAAGTGGTCGAGAAACCAAAAATTGAAGGTATTCTTTAAAGACTCGCATACAATTTATATTATTGATATCAGTCTATTTCCAAATCCTGAAGTCTTTTACCAAGCTAGAGGCCAGATTTAGTGTTTAATATTTATTTTTTAACTTGCTGTGTACAGAATCGTGTTATTTCTCTACTCGATTTGAATGTTGTCATTTTTGAAATTCTCTTGAAAGACAAACCCATCATAACCATCGAAGGGGACGATAAAGGAGATGTTCCAATCGAAGAGGGTAAAGATGTCAGCTTAAAGTGCCGTCTCGAAGGTGAGTTACTTCTTTCATTTCGAAGCCAATCCCTTGTTCGGTTCTCAACTACTAATCGACTTATTTGCCCCACAGAAATTACACCTGACTCACCTAAATTCGCCAAGGGGTATGCATATCATTGGCAAATCGCTCGTAAGGATGGACGCGCCGTGGATACATCCGTAGTTGCCGACACCGTTGAGGTCATCCCCCTCCCAGATGGTGGTCTTGAGCTCAGGTTGAAGGGTCTTAAAGCGTCCGCCGCTGGTTTGGAGGCCAAGTGCTCTGTCCTCAATACAACTGATGAGGACAAATCCAAAATGGTGAATTTCCCAAGGGGTGCCGATTTGGTAACCTTCACTGACGACAAGCTTGGTGAACCGCAGGAAAAGGCACAATTCACTGGTACACCAGAATACGACACGAGTCAGTACAGCATTACTTCTTGTTAGCATAAATCTACTTGTGACTAATGTGTTATATTTTGCTTTGCTACAGTTCCGGAGAACGATAAGAGGAATAAGTACACGGTTAAAGTTGATGGATTGGACGACTTGAATCGACTTGCAGCTCCTCTAGACTCTGATAAGATATTGACAGTGAAAGTAATGGGTAGGTACCTGTACAGATTAACATTATGATAGAAATCTGGGTGAAACTAATCCACCACATCACTTATCTTTTCCCACCGATGCTTTTTCTCAATCGCAAATACAGTAGACATAGTTAATCGTAATTTTGAATGTTGTTATGTGTTCAGATTTCTTGAGGTTCATTTACACCATTTCCTTTTCCATTATCCACTAGAAATCGACTGTGACTCGTTTGAATAGAGTGCTCACCAGCAAAAGTCTTGTGTGTTTCCTTTAGATAAAGAAACTGGTGAAGAAGTTTCAGTCACCAATCCAGCATGGAAGGCGGTTGGCTTGGAAGTTCGACATGCCGATGGTCGGCCGGCTCCTCTGAGCCACCTCGCCAAGGAAGTTCATGTTGATTCCAATACTGGAGAGATTAGGCTTGTAGGATACAAGTGAGTTGGCTAATGCAACATTCACGGCAATTGTTTCCACAAATTATAAAGCATACTCTAACAATCATTTGGGCATCTTTGAGGAACTGAATAACTTGTAGTTCATTATTAATCACAACGCGTTTCATTTGCAGGGGTGACTCTGAGTTGGACAAAGGTGACGACCTGTTCATCCGTGTGATTGCTGAGAAGACCCCTACTGAAGTTGATGCCGATAGGAAAGCAAAGCCTGGACAATTGGGCGATCCTAGCAAGGAGCGCTTCGCTTCCCCACTTATCCCCGTTGCTCTCACTGACAGGGAGCCAGGTAGGAACAGTATTAGATGTAATGCGTTCAAGTTCAGTATAGTATCGTGATGGTGTAGTAGTATTTTAAGTGGTACCAGTGAGAGTGTTTGACCTCTTTTTATGGGCATTTTTCTTTCATCACCAGACGACCGCGAAAAAGCCATGAAATTGTCACCTCTGGTCCCTGTCGTCCATGGTCTCAGCAAATGTCGCACCGTTGCACTTGAAAGTGGAAAGGATACTATTTTGTCCTGCAAAGCTAGAGGCATGTGAAATTCGTTTTTACTACTCTACGTACCTGCATAAGTTTTCCCCATAAATTAACCATGTGAAGTTCATCCGCTGAATGGAAATGATGTTGGTATTTTTTTGCCACTCCTATCAGGTGTTAAAGACGAAAGTGACCTCCTTTTCGCATGGGAGCTGAGAAATATCCAAGGTCGTCAGGCCTCCGTGAGTATGATTGCCAAATCCGTTGATATCTCCGGAAATCAACTCAGACTCAGTGGTATGAAGACTTTGGCCACAGGCGAAAGCCTGCTCGGAAGATGCGTGATTGTCAGGAAGATGGGCGGCTCCGAGAAGTACTACAGTCGAGACTTCCTCGTGGGGCCACTCTGCGATCCTGGTAAGGGGATAAGCTGTCATGGAAAGCCTAATAAGGTCTTCAAATAAGTTGCTACTCTATATGATACGATGACAGTTGCGCTTACATTTTATTGGTGCTGAATAGATTCTGTATCATGAACTAATCTTTCCTAGGGGGTGTAGTCTGATTTATTTCAAGATTTTAAAGTCAAATAATATGTCACTAGAAATCAGCAGATACGGTTAATGAGCTGCTTTGAATAAAAAAGGCCAATATTTTCTTCTCTCTAGTTGAAGACGAGGTTGTAAGGGTAGAAGAGATCCCAAGTAGAGATCCAGACCAGCGACGATTCCGTTGTGTGGTTACAAGTAAGATTCCTACCTTTCCTTAAAATACACACCTTTTAAATGCATCCTAACTCATTACTTTACTGGTTACAGAAAGATCCGATGGCTCCGTGATACCTGGCGCCACTTACAAATGGGAGTTTGCAAGCCCTTCTGGCGAAATGATTCTACCCGGCCATCTCTTCGAGAGCATTGAAATTTCTGGAGACTCTATTGGCCTTGGACAACTTCGAAGTGATGTTGATTTCTCGACATACTTTGCCGACAGGAGTGTCAGTCTTATCGAAGGTCGTTGCGAGGCTTTTCTACCTCCTGCTGATGCTAAGGGTGTGCCCAAGAAGATTTACTCGGATCCTATGGTGCAAGTGTCCAAGGGAGATGAAGACGAAGAACCGGCCTACTCGACGAAAGAAATAATTGAGGGTGAGATTAAATATACACTGGCAGATTTAATACCTCAGGGAATGCGATTCGAATAGGCTATTCGTCTAATTGCAGATGACAAACCTCGGGCTCTTGTGGATGGTGCTGTGGACAACAAGGTGATCACTAAGCCGGATAATAGTGTTACACTCAAGTGCATTGGTGTCGGTAAGTGAATTTTTCGATTTTAGTTGTCTTCGGCTGAGAAAAACGCCCTAATCGACCCGGATGGTTGGGTTATTGAGTGATAAAGGAAACGTGTGCCATTGCGGAACTTATAGTAACTTCAAACTGCTACCGTTATTAATAGACTTCGTTTTCCCCACACAGACGACCAGACGGGGGCTAACCTGGGCAACATTGACCACCTATGGGAGGTGCAGACGAAAGACGGTCGACCTATAGACACTAGTGCATTAGCTGAAAAGGTGGAGCTGACGCCGGCAACTGATGGATCAGGCTATAAACTGCGACTAATTAAGATCCGTCCAACCGCCGGTGGACTTCGGTTGAGGTGCGTTCTCAGAGATTCACGTGCCAGGGATGAGAGGCCGTTAGACCTTCCTTCTGACAGCCTTCTCAGACCGGGGGATCAGGCTCCTGGAGATTTAATTGACGTTATCATTCAAGGCGATCCTGAAAAACCCGAGCCTGTAACTGGAAGGCTAGATGACATCGTTCCAAGTATGTGGCTTCTTAGTCAAAATGTCTGGGCGTTGGTTTCGAGACGAATATATCGGTGCTTGCTTTTTTCAGTACCCGATAGCGACCCAAGAAAATCATTCCGGGTCCGAGTTAGTGGCCTTGATCCTGACGGAAACTTGGCTGGACCTCAAAATTCTACCGTCACACTGAAAGCTGAGCTTATTGGTTAGTTATGATAATAGGATATGCCAAAAATTCCTTAAACATGCGGAATAATAGCAACGCTCACACGTTGTGATAAATTATGACATCGACTTCTCTTTACTGTAGATGAATTTACGAATGAAAAGGCAGATATTCCCGAGGGTGGTGATGTTCGTTTCGGTTTGGAAGTTACTAAAGCCGACGGAAGTCCAGCTCCACTGAACCTCATCGCAAATTCAGCTGAAATTGACAGTAAATCGGGTGAAATCAGACTGATTGAGTATCAGGGAGACCAACGCAGTCCTGCCGCCAAGGATGTCCGCATACGGGTTGTGGCCGAACGAAGTGGACTGAAACAGCGCCAGCGATTCGCTTCTCCATATATCTATCCTGTTTTAACCCAAGATGGTGGGGGACCTATCAAAGGTTTGTTTTATTTACTCATTAATTTTTGATAAGCAATAAAAATCATTGTATTACTAGAAAGCGTCATAAAAAATGCTCTGGGTTTTAACCATCATGGTTTATAAAACTACCCCCTTCGTCCTCAACAAAATGAGTCGTCAATGCCGTTCTAAGCATAGCAGTTAGAAGGCCTAGAAGGATTATTGTTGGGACTAAAGGATCATTAAAAGTTTAGACACTCGAGAACTTGGTTGCTGCATAAGAGAGAAAAAGGGATTTATGGAAATGCGTTCGACCACCAATGCGCAACTTTCCTGACCCGTGGTCTGACAAACACTGCTGATAGGCGGATTCAGACGGTGGTATTGATGATGAGACCTTTCAACAAACCTGAGAATGAGTAGCACCACAACTTTTGTCTAAGAGCCAAAGGATTACCCCATGCAATAAAGATCGCCACAGAGCAGTGTGTGTTGGTGTGTGGAACAATCTTGTTGGTATCCAATGGACTATATCGTGCCGATCTTCATGGGTGTTCGTTCCTATTCTCACGTAAGGCAACTGATATTTTATAGCTTTAAATTATCTCATTTACTATTTTAGACGACAGACCGGTTGTAAAGGAGTGGCCGGAAGTAAAGCCATTAGTCGTTGGGTTGAGCGACTGTCGTAACTTGCCCATAGAAGTTGGTACCCGGAAGATGCTAATCTGTGATGTTTCAAGTACGATTGCTGACTTTATATTATATTTTTTTACCTCTGCTCTGTAAATTTTTCGGAATGCACTTTTTAACTTGCGTTACATATAAACAGACAAATATTTATGCTTTTAGTGGATAACCTTGAACTTACTTTAGATATGATTTGCCCTTACCTTTGCACATTTATTTAAGTAGTATTTGTAGTGATTACCTCAAACTAAATAAAAAAATATTCCCTCTGATCAAATTCAGCAAACGAAAAAAGGATTGGTGATGTTCCAAAATGGGATTAATTCATTTTGAATTCTCTGTGGTTAGGCCCGACCGAAGATCCGAATAAACTGCTCTACGGATGGGAGTTGCGGGGTGAAAAAGCCAACAAACTACCTCTTTCTGGCTCAATCGCTGACTTCGCAAAACAATCTGGCAACAAATTGGAGCTGGTTGGACTGTTTGAACCTAGCGAGCACACTTTCGGTCGCTGTGTTGTAGCCCGACCCGGTAGTGGCAGTGCAAAGTACTACAGCGAATACTTCGAGATCGGTGGTACCTGCAAGCCAAGTCAGTAGCGAACATTTTTTGCAAACCATACCCAGTCTGGATGGTTGTTTATGGAACTTACTTCATTCCAGGTCCCGAGAAGTTGGTGAAAGTTGATGTTCAGGATGTCCCACGACATGATCCGAACGAAAAATCTTTTGAGTGCTACGCTTACGGTGAGCTATAGTTACTTCTGATAGTATTTAATCATTTGTTATGGTAGTAGACAAAGCAACTAAATTTTTTTGTGGATCTAGTTACACTACATTTAGCTCTAACAAGTATGGCCTTAAGCCATTTCTCATTATCTTTGTGCAATCGGCATAGTTAGTAGTATATGTCGTTTCAGAGTAGTAGGATAGTGCTAATGAGACATTTTGGCCTTCAACGACTGTGTTTTATTTATTATAATCATCAGGGGCTTTGAAGAAATAGTTTTTTTCTGGGTAGAGCGCAATATAAATTGCAAGTCTATGGAGATTATAAATTCTAAAATTAATATTTTGCCGTTTACCTAAAGATCCCACAACTGGATCCCGTCTGGAAAATGCTACCTTCCTTTGGCGATTCCGATCTGTTGACACTGGAGAGATAATTCCACCATCTCTGCTCTTTGGCAAGGTCACGACTGAGGGTAATATGGTGACACTGAACAACTTGCGAGTTGATGTCGACCTCGAGGCTTTGGCAGGTTCCAACAAAGTCTATGGTGAATGCATCGCAGACGTCCCCAGAGGTCTAGATGGCTTTGAGAGAGCCATTTACTCCTCTGGTCCCAGGTTCTTTATTGAACGGGATCCCTCGGGGAGCCTGGAGATTGGCGAGGTTAAGGAACCTGAAAGTAAGTTTAAACAATAAGAAAATAAGCTGGGTCGTAATCCAAATATCACCAAAAAAATTTTTGCATTGTGTTTGTGCAGGAGAAAAAGTCAGGTTTGAAATGATGGGAGTTGAGGATGGCAGGGTAATTTCCAGTGAGGGCGACAATAAAGTGATCAGCTGTGTGGCCGAGGGTAAGCATTTCCACTATATCCATTTACTATTAATATAGATTTAATATGACTAAAATTAATCGGGATTGTGTTGTAGATCCTCAAACAAGTCGTCCGATTGAAGGTTTGGCAGTCCAGTGGGTGTTTGAACATAAGGACGGTACTGTAGTTGATACTTCGGCACTTGCTAAATCGGTTAAATCACTGCCTCTTCCATCAGGAGCTACTCTTCGTCTGCAAGGTATTTGCAAGACTGCCTCAGGACTTCGCGCTAAGTGCGTGGCTGTCAATGCCAATAGGGGCTTGGATACAGAACTCGACCAAAAGGAAGGTCCTCTTGATCCAACTACGCAAGTCGACAGCCCCTACATCGATTTCAATGTGAAGCCAACGGAACCTGAGGCAGAGGAAGATAAGATTGTGCCAAAGCCTGAATTGTGTAAGCCGCTTGCGTGCTTTTTTCTACTCCTTATTAAGAGAACTCTTTCCACGTCCGACGCGTTTATTTTTAGTAACTCCAAAGGACTTCAAATTCCTCATTGATGGACTAGACGAATATGGAAATCTAGCCATCTCACGTGGAGCAAACAAGGTTTTGGAAGTCAAACTCATTGGTAATCCTTTTTGCCTTTTTTTTGATTTATGCCAGTATCGGGGTCTGGTTAGTCTTGATGCTATTTGCCCTTCTCAGATCCTGATACTGGTGAAGAGCTTCCAAAGGATGCCAGTACCAAATATGGTGTCAAACTGCATCGTGCCGACAAGTCTCCAGCTTCTCTGGGTGCCCTTGCTAGAAGCGTGGAGATTAACTCAGAGACAGGGAAGCTAAAAATAGAAGGCTATCAAGGCGACGCTCTTAGTGACAAGGCCAATGATCTCTTCTTAAAATTCACGGTAGAGCGACCATTTCTTTCAGGTGATGACACGGTTGAGAAGTTCGCCTCCCAGTCGATTCCAGTGAAAACTCTAGATAGAGCTGGCGAACCAGTTCCTGGTGAGCATCCAATTACAAGTCTTTTAAAATCCACCGTTAAGATTTCGTGAAAGATTCTATTAATTTTTTTTATTTTTACAGACCACCGAAAACCCGCCCTCCGTCTTCCTGATCTCAGACCCCTTGTCCTCGGATTAAGTAAATGTGGTAACCTTGAGTTCGATGAAGGCGACAATGTCACCTTGAAATGTAAAGCCCGAGGTACGTCAGATGAATCTTGGACAAAACATATTTGATAATTTCGCGTCTGTTGCATTACCTTAACTCAGGAAATCATCTTGAATTGTATAAATAGGCAAACCCCTAATATATATCTCTTCAGTACCTTCTAGGGTTGTTTTTCATGCGTTAGTGTCGACGTTATGACAATTTATCCTTTGGCTGCATTAAATATGGTTTTAAAATGCTGAATATTTAAACAACTCCGTGTTATACCTAGGTATGGCGGAAGACGATGACAATTTAGTTTATGCCTGGGAGGTAATTAAACCGGGTGGATACAAAATCTCAATGGCTGGAACCCTGGCTAAATCCGTGGAACAGGAGGGATCGAAACTGCGTCTGATAAATATGCTAGCTCAGAAAGACATGCTATTTGGTCGCTGTCTGATTGCTCGCAAGGCTGGCAACAGAGCTCTCTACGGCAGCCACTACTTCCGCATCGGTGGCAAGTGCGAGCGCAGTATGTTTAAGTTTAATTAAAATTTTGGCGAAATTAATTTTTAAAGTAAGTTAAGATTATCTGCTAGGCACTTACCATAATGTAAATTTGTTTAGGTATGGTGTATTTAAAACGTCAGTAATTTTATGATCAAGGATAAATTTTGGTTTTTTCATTTTTTTATGTTAAGCCCATCATCTTGTAATCTATGAAAATGGACTAGCTAGCATGAATTTTGTGTTTATTTAAGTGGTGTGACCTTGGGACCAAATGTGAAAACGCTTTTTTCGAATGTTTGACCTTTGTAGAGGACAAAGTCGTTGTAAAGGTTGATGAGGTCCCAACGCTTTCTTCTCATGAACGCAAATTCAAATGCAAGTCTATTGGTAAGTTGTGCATGGTGGATTCCCCAATAGATCGTGATATATAAATGGTTTTTATTTACTGGGATAATCCCAACAATAAATTCTTAATAAATCAAGGTAATAATAAAGAATTTTAGGAGCCTGCAATCACGGTGTAAACTTTTTATTACTGTTAGATTTCGACACCGGCATATCGATTCAAGCTGGAAACTTTATATGGGAATTCGTGTCCTCCTCCGGTGAAGTTATTCTTCCCGGCCACATCTTCTCCAAGGTGGAAGTTGATAGAGATACTATTCAGCTTAGCAGACCAATTCCTGATGTTAACTTGTCGAAGTTCTTGGGACCAAATGATGGCAAATTCATTATGGGAAGGTGCCGTTCGGTCAAATTAGAAGATGGTGATGATGCAGAACAACCGTTTGTTCCACCCTCGGATCCTTTCATTGTCATCGGTCAAGCCGAGGATGCTGATGATAAAGGAAAGATTGATATCCTGGAGACTGTGGATGCGGAAGGTGAATGTCTCCTTAACCTACACCCTTAAAATTGGTCCGATTACCTACACTAATTTTTTAACTATTTCGTTTGATTGGAGAGTTAGAAGCTTCATAAGAGTCAGTATTACATTGCAGATGAAAAACCTGGCGTCACTGTAAAGGATGCAGCTGACAATCGAGTTAATCAGGATGAAAACGATTCAGTGGTCCTTACCTGTGAAGCTCAAGGTGAGTTTTAGAACGGCTTCTCCACTCATTCCAGTTTTACGTCTTTAAGCAATAAATAATAGCTGAAATTGAGTAGAGATGGTTTTGATGCTGTCTTATGATCACTGGTGGGTTATTTGTGCCATAATGGGAATGCAGCTTATTGTCGTATAAGTACAAACTCCAGTGAAATTCAAGAAAAATTTGACCCATTTTGCCTTGCATTGCAAAGTCCAGGATGCTGTTTGATAATCTAAGTACTAATTGCGCAGGTGAGGGATGGTAAAGGCTAATTTTACGGAGCCAGCTTTGTTGTCTGCTGCAGACAAGTTTTCGAGAAGCAAGGTGAATGGCCTGACGTACGCTTGGGAGATCCGCACAAAAGACAACCGCCCAGTGGATACCAGTGCTCTGGCTGATAGGATCGAACTTTTACCAACTGGTGAAATCAAACTCACCGTTCTCAAACAATCGGCCGCCGGTCTTCGTGCTCGTTGTGTCCTCACCAACGACACTGTGGACGAAGAAGCCGGAAGAGACCAAGGTGTTCTCTCACCTGGCGAAACGAAGCCGGGAGCTTTTATCGATTTCAATGTCAGACCTGATCCAGGCAGTGGCATCGTGTTTGATGGCATGACGTCTCTTGGTACGTCGATGTTTGCTGCGTTGTTAATCTTTTGTTCATACTGAAGGCACCATCATTCACCCATCAATACTCTTACTCAGTAGACTGAAATACTTTGTAAAATGGGGTGTCGAATTGCTGTAAACAGGGAGAAACTAACTTTTTTGAAGGAATATCACAGCGTGAACGCTCTTCTAAAGGATACAGCATTTCTCAGAACTAACACAATCAAAATTACGTAGTGTGGGTGTTATGACCAATTTGAAGGTGAGATACCATACTGTCTAATCCGTTTTGTGCTTGATCTTCCATCACTTTCGTCCACTCAGATATCGATAAGTCAGATCCGCCAAAGTTCAAAGTCCAGGTCGAGGGGCTCGATAGTAACGGTGCGTTGTCTGCGAAGGTGGGCGACGAGGTTGTAATCAAAGGGAGACTTATCAGTAAGTACTGGTTGTGGCATTTTTCTTTTCGTCTCAAACTAGAATTATAATTAACTAGAATTGTACATCTGCTTAAATATATTGAGGAACATGCATCGGAAGGTTAATCACAAACTGATTTATCAAATATTTTTGCTTATGGATGAACTAAGGATTAGATCATAGAGGTATCTTTTGACCGTGGCTACTTTGGAAAGTCATGAAGTCGTAGTATAAGAACAAGCTAGAAGTAATTTACAAACAAAATCATTTTAGACACCGAAACCGGTGAAGACGAGGCAGATAAGGTGAGGTTCGGCATTGAAACGAGCTACTCTGATGGAAGCCCAGCCCCATTGGGTCTTCTTGGCGACACCATTATGGTGAATTCAAAAACTGGTGAGGTAAAAGTGAACGACTTCAAGGGAGACCGCCTGGCACCCCAGCGAGGAAGTTTGCGCATCCGCATCGTCGCAGAAAGGACTTTTGAGTCAGGCGAACCTCCCAAACTGAAGACTGAGCGCTATGCCTCCAACTACATTCTACCAGTTACCCTCGAAGAAGATGGTACTCCAATCAAGGGTAAAATGCTAAAATTATGAATAAGGTCATTCTGCGACCAAGAATGTTTTGATAAATAATGCTTTCTGCATTTGTAGACAGTAGACCTACACCTGAAGAATTTGACCCTATTTCACCAACAATCGAGGGACTAAGTCCTTGTGGCAATCTTCTCCTTCAAGAAGGCTATTCTGTGTCGGTTTACTGCAAAGCAACTGGTCAGTTTTTTCCTTATCTCTTTCCATTGTGAGTCAGCAAATAAATGTATAAAGTTTTTTTTGAAATGCTCTTTAAAGACGAACCGAACAAAGAAGACCAATTTGTCTTCGGTTGGGAGATCTTCAATGCTAAAGGCGCCCCTATCCCTCTTGTGGGCGTAATATCTAGCTCTGCTGTGGCTGAAGGATCCGCGCTGCATCTGACAGGTGCCAGAGACCCAGTAAACCCAGTTTTTGGGAGATGCGTTGTCTCGAGGAAAGCGGGTGATGATACCCGGTACTTCAGTCCCCTATTCCGAGTTGGTGGAAAATGTGATGAAGGTGCGTTTTTCTATTATGCATCATAAACGCTAATTCTATTTCTTCGAACGCCGCAACTTGGAACAGTTTGATCTTATAAATGTCGATTCATTTTCAAGGCTCAAGGGTTATTTATAAAATTGCAATGGATTATTGATTAACATTTGCAGATATTTTTAAGAGGATTTTAGTCGGTGCATCATCAGTGGTAAGTAAATGCCCTGTTTTCTTTCGTCTAAAAAGCTGAGCCGATAACAACAACTACACCCGCACCGAGGCGAAACGTGACAACACGCCCAGAAGAAGGGGAAGGGGAGACGAAATTTACTGGCGCGACCCTTGACACGGGGAGAAAGATCCGCTTCCAATTGACCGGAATCAATGCAGATCGACTTGTGGTGGCTAGACCAGGGGATGATGCAACTCTGAGCTGCACTGCATACGGTGAGCACTTTATCAACTTACCAGTGTTGTTTTTTTTATTCGGTGAGTTGGCATGGTTGCTCCACTTTTTTATGCGTAGATGCTGAGACGAATGAGGTCCTTTCCGATGCTACCATCAGCTGGGAATTCAGTGATCTTGAGCAGAACAAAATAAGTCCGATGCGCATCGCCAACAAGGTTGCTGTTCGAAAGAAAAACACCATCGATTTTACTGGCTTGCGCAAGGAACCGAAGGCTGGTGGGAGGTGCCTAATCACCCTTGATGACAAGGCCACAATCAGCACGCCTTTCTTCTACTTCCATGTCACCGATGATGATAAAGAAGGCAAGACTTCCTTGGTTAAAGAGAATTTGAATCCTTCCTTTTGAAAGTCTTATACAGCAAACTATTTTATAACGCACTCACTGACGATTTTATCATTCGCTCCATTGCAAAGTAGACTGAAGTTTCCACAATATCCTTTGCATATTGTGAAGATAATTCGTTGTCATTCAGTCTCCCCACTCATGTGCCGATACGAGTAGGCATTCACGGTCCCTCTGGGTTTGCATCCGAAACTACGAACCTTAAACTATTCTGACGAATTTGAGCTTTCATTTGCATTAGTGCCAATGGATAGGCTTCTCAACGGTGACGCGTCTGTTGAAGTGCTAGTGGAAGGTCTCAACGAGCAGGGTCAGATTTCCGTCAAGCAAATCGGTGATGACGCACAGCTAACTTGCAAGGCAATCAGAAAAGATACAAATGAAATCCTCACTGAAGACGTTCGTTTTGGTTGGGAGTGGCGTTATCTGGACAATGATCCAGCTATGACAAGCAATGTAGCCATTGGTATAAAAACTGATGGAGATAGTATGGAATTGCGTGGTATTCGGGCTCCTGAAGGCCTTGGTGGTCGTGGCATCAAGGGACGCTGCGTTTTGCACATCCCTGCTAAGAAGGTCGAACCCGAAGCTGCCGATGGAGACAGAGAACGCAAATTTGTTTCACAGTACTTCATGGTTGTGGTCGATCGCGTACCGGTGGTTACTCAGTCGCCCATTCCTGGACATGCAATCGGTAAGTAGTGGCCTGCTATCTCGTAATCCCGGACAGTAATTGTGGCATAAAGTATCAAAACTTGTATTTTTATTTCAGATGGCATTACTGTTGAGATAGAGGGTGCAGTAGACGGAGAATTGAAGGCTAGCCAAGGCAGTGATGCAAAACTTAATTGTATTGTCAAGAGTAGGTTTTAACAACTTTAGCATTTTACTGCGATTATTGGTGGTCCCACATAACTGTACACTGTTTTACAGACGTTACCAGTGGAAAACCGATCTCGGCAGCTCTATATGCTATAGTCTATGGGTGGGAGTTCAGAGATGCCTCTGGCAATGCTGTAGACAGCAGTTTCTTTGCAAATGCCGTGAATATTGAGTCACACGGAAGTCTGCGACTTTCTGGATTATCAGCGCCCTCTACAGGTCGTTTCCCGATGCGGATTCGGTGCTATGCTACACTTGCTCGTCGCTTACCAACTGAGGATAGAGAAGTTCTGCGACCTCGCTACTACACTTCCGAATATGTTGGCCTTTTGATAGTCAGGGAAGATGGAACCGTCACGGCTCCTGAACCTGGTCAACCAGAACCGGATCGTGAGTCAGGCTTTGCCTTGGATGGAGAAAAAGTGCACAGTTGTAGTTCTAACACCCTGCTTCGTTTTAGTGCAAGGCAACCGCGTTGATGTCTTTGTAAAGGGACTGCATCCAAGTGGAGATTTGAAGAGCATGCCTGGAGAAGATGTTGAACTATTGTGCGTTGCCACAGGTAATAAGGAATGCCGCGTATTCATTCGTTAATCATGACAATTGACTCTTTTACTTTTTTCCCATTTCAAAAGACAAAAAGGCGGACCAGGAGATAACACGTGACCAAGGGATATTTGACTGGAGTCTCCTACGACCGAATGGTTTGAAGCTCTCCAACGGTCAGCTGGCTAAGGAAGCTGTCTTTGATGGACCTCGATTGGTGCTGAAGCACGTGCTATTACTCGATCCTGAGATGGCTGGATCAATGGGCCGTTGTGAGGTCTTCTACAACGGGCAGACATATTCCTCACCATTCTTCAAGCTTGACTTTACTCCTAAGCAACCGCTAGAACAAATTGAAGGTGGATTATTTTAAAGTTAATTTATTAAACTCCAAGTATTAGTGCATTGAGAACATATTCACTATTCCATTTGACTGATCTGTCGGAGTGGCATGTTAAAGACGTACATAGGGAATAGGAATGATGCTGCAAATGTGGATATTTAAAGGGAATTTTCTTCTCTTAGGCGATGGTATGCTTGTGGTCGACATCAATGGGGCCAACAAAGCTCTCAGTATCGTGGAACTAACTCCAGACGAAAAGACACTTCAATGTTTCGCAGTTGGTGAGTTCCTCATCTGCCTTAGTTCTCATAGCGCTGATTAAAGCTGTCAAAGCCACCAGTATTTGAAGTTTTTCCTCTCTCCCATAAATCGTTATATAGGGGATGAAATAAACGCGTCTACATCATGGGCAGCCGATTGATGGAGTTGAGTGTTAGCAAGTACCAAAAATCACCCAGAACGTGGGTTTTAAGTTGATCATCTCAATGCCTAAATTCATCATATTAGTTGGGACCCTAACTATCATTCTTTTAATGTAGATTCAAGGACCCGAAAGCCAGAGACTGATGTTGCTTACGACTGGGAGTACTACACGAGCCTTGGAAATGGTCTTCCGGATGTGCTTGACATGATGGATCCAGAGCGAGTAGAAACCTTCAAAGAGGGCCTCAATGGAAAACTCACTCTTAAGGGAACAGACAATCGAGACGTTACGAAGGATAGGGTGACGCGTTTGCGATGTCGAATTACTAAGGATGGTGCCAGCTACACGTCACCTTACTACAGTATCCGACTAGCAGACGAAAAAGTCAGTGTTGAAGAGCCGGGTACGTGAATATTTCAATCCTCCTTTCGTCATACATTACCTTCTTCTGTTCAAAGGGGTATCCATGAGGATTAAGAAATCTCCTGATAATCATTGCTTCGATTATCAGGGTTATCCTTAAATTCGTTTTTTTTTTTCATTACTAGTATTAAAAAGAGTTGACTTGACTTCGATCTTCTATCAGATCTCGTTGCCAACCTACTAAATCGCTGTTTGATAAGATGATTCTCATATCCTCAAGTAGATTTTCCGTGCTTTTCTGACTTTCTGGCAAATAGATTTGATGCCACGACACCAAACAAGCGATTATTTCAAAAATTTTAATTTGTAGAGATAAAACCAGTTCCAAAATATTGGGCTTGGATTACTGGCCTTGATGACAAAGGACGCGCATCGGCTAAGCCGGGAAATACAGTTCGGCTAGGCTGTCAGGCTATCGGTATGTTTATATTTCGAATTTCAGTAATAACTTACTAGTATTTGAAAATATTTTTTCCCCTGCTTGATTTCTACGCAATTTACTTGTCTTTGAATCAATTGTAGACACTAAAACTGGCAATGAAGCAAAGAATGTGGAGTACTTGTGGGAACTGCGCCGTACTGATGGTAGAATGGCTGATGTGGGACAAATTGCATCTGGCGAAGTTAGTTTCGGGGAGAATGAAATAACTCTAAGGGAAATAAGACCAAACTATGGAAATCTGAAGGGGCGTTGCATCATCATGGACCGCGCCACTAAAGAACAATTCCATTCGCCCTTCTTCAACTTTGCTGTCCCGCCAACTTTCGAATTGGAAGATATTGAAGAGTCGCCGCCCCTCATAAGGGATGCTTCTCGTACGTTAAACTTTATATCAATGATAAATTACACCTAAGGCTGTCAAAACGTCAAGTTTTCACTTTGAATAAGTGAAGCACAAATCATAAATGGCTGAAAAATCTAGCCGTTAAGCAGATTGGCATGGGTTTTTTTCCTCCTCAGTTCAAGGCGATCGTATGAAGGTATGGGTGACGGAGTTAAACTCGCTTGGAAATCTTAACGGAATGGTCGGGCAGGATGCTTCCTTGAAGTGTAACGCTGAAGGCGAGTGTTTCCCCTAATCTCGTTGCTTTGTTACAAAATAATGCTTAGGGGTTTTATTTTCCTTTCCTTACCTACGCCTTCTTACAGCTCAAGTCGCGAATGCTGAAGTGCTCGGCTACTCTTGGCAATTCATTGACAGGCACGCTCAGCTAATCTCTCCTAGCGTTCTTGCGAAGGAGATTCAGATTAAGGGTGATGGAACGCTCCTTATGAATGGTTTACGAGCCTACAAGGACCGACAGGGCTACTATTCCATTGGTGGACGCTGTCTTGCACACGCCAAAATAGGCAGTGAAGATGGAAAGGTGGAACAGCTTCGTTTCCCGTCCAAATACTTCCAAGTGATTGTTCGCGATACTGAAGAGCCAGTTCTACCAAAGGTTCCTGAAGATTGTAAGTCCTTGAAGATTGTGAACTGCTATCAGTCCTCCCTGAGCATCGGGAAGAGTACTTTCGAAAGAAGTGCATTAACTCATTTTCATTTTTTAAAGTTAAAGTCGTAGAGGTATAATATCGTAGGCTTTATTTGAATAAATTACACATAGTTGGTGAGTAACCTCTGTCCTAATATTATGAGGCTTTCATCTAGTTCCATTCAGATGGGAAAGTAAATGAATTAATTAATCAACTTCTCTACGAGTCGGGAAGTTGAAGTGGTAGTGAAGTTGGTGTTGAGCTAATGCCCATTACTTGATGATTTAAAAGTTCCTTGTTTTTAACATCAGTGCAAGGAGAATTCGTCATTGTCGATGTGGATGGTCTTGGTAAACGTGGCAATCTCAAAGCAGAACCTGGTGACACTGTAACACTCACATGCAAGGCTAAAGGTGAGATTCCGTTCACGATATTCACCCGCTTCCATCGCTTGCTTATTTGTTTGTCAGATTTGACAATTGTCCTGATCGATAATTCCTGTTGACTAAATGTCACATTTTCATTCTGCTCTAGACATCGAAGCCGATGTGGACGATGTGCCTGGCACACAGTCCTGGAAATTTATCGATTCGCTAGGTCGTGAAGTGCCCGCAGAGCGTCTTGCGATGTCTGTGGAGAGAACTGGTCGTCAAATCATTCTGACCCACCTCAGACCAACTCTAAAAGACATCATTACCCGCGGTAAATGTGTCATATTCGGCGAGAGAAGGAAGCGATTCTACTCCTCAGTGCCTTTTGAGGTGGTGGTCAGACGACGAGACCTGGATGAGGAGAAAGGTAAGTCAAGGCCATGGATTTTCATTCAAAGATTCTCAGTGATTGACAACTTGGATGACTATAGCACTGGGGCTCACCACTCCTTGCGTACTGGTGGAGGAATGGGAGCCACGTGAGAAACACAAATATTTCACTGTCCTCCAAATTCGACTTTCTTTACAATTAGTTGGGTGAATACTTGCGTGCCACGGCTCAATTTAATTACCTCTGCATTTTGCTTGAACAGTAGTGCCTTCGTTTTCACTCAATTCCACTTTGTCTGTTTTTTGAACCATTCTCAGCCTCTTGTTACAGGAAAAGGTGTTCGGTCTGCAAAATGTCAATTTATTCCGTCATTTTTATCAGTGTTGCGACGAATTCGTTTGTAACCGATTCCCAGTCTCTAGATCCATTATTTGTCGAGCATTTTGTATCAGTTTTTATCCCACCGTTTCTATCCCCTTTTAGAGGGTGACGAGGTAGTTGTTGATGTGTTTGGCGACATCGTTGACAATGCGTTCACCGGTTCTAAAGGCGGCGATGGCAAATTCTACTGCTCTGCTAAATGTGAGTACATTTGCGACATTTAAAGCAAAAAGGCGGATGTAACAATAGCTGCTTTCAACATAGGGCTGGTGACAGGTATCGACATCTTGCTCGTCTCTTCCAGTTATGCCAAGTCAGTGAAACTTCAAGCTTCCATTTGTGGCCTACATTTACATCAAAATAGTTGCCAGTCGTAACTGTCGAAAGGACGCTTTAAACAGTTTTCTGAATTAAGTGTAAATTAATTGGCAAAGCGGATAACGTAATTTAATGGGAATTTTTAAATCTGTAACCTCCACACAAAAATAATTTGGTGAAAAGTGTAAAAATCTTGGCCTTCTGACTTTTTGCTGTAGACGTGAAGACAGACAAGCCAATTTCTCCCGAAAAAGCCCAATACGCATGGGAATTCGAGATCGATGGTCGGTTGAAGCCGCTGGATAGTGTGGCAGGAGACGTGGCTACAAAGACGACACAAGGCACAGACCCGAATAATCCGCAAGCCGCTATGCTTCAGCTCCAGGGTCTTGGTTCCTTAACCAAATGGACAAGGGCACGTTGTGGTGTCACTGTGACTGAACAACTTGAAGGAGGAGGCGTGCCTGCCAGCAAAACCTACTATTCACCTTTCTTCACTTCAGGTGAAGCCTTTGACTCCACTACTCCCGATGGACGTATCATTACAGGTGAGACTGCTGCAGCGACTTTATAAGGGTAGAAGGCATGTAAAAAGTGTATAAATACATATTTTTCTGCCGAAGAGTAAATCCGAGATTTTTATTTAGTTGTGACAACTACAATAAGGGATTACAGAATTGTCAAAGTGTGCAACATATCTGACCTCAAATATCCCAGTTGATAGCAGTACTCGACTCTTATCGAAAGTTATGGGGAACTCCTTTTTGAGTGGGTATTTTTCATTCAGATCCGGAGATTTCCATTCGCGTGCTCGGTCTCGATGGAAACGATACTGTGATTGCAAATGTTGGTGATGATAAAATACTCCGATGCTCTGCAATCGGTGAGCTGCCTCTCCATTTCTCACCGCTTAATTGACACGTTCATCAAAAACCGCATAGCTTCTCTCCTTCTTCCCTCCTTGGCATTAGACATGACCACTGGTCTGCCCATCGAAAGTGCACGATTTACTTGGGATCTTCGAACTGTTGATAATCTGCCCCTAACCACCAACAGACTAGCAGAACAGGTTCGCGCTGTGGACGGAGAGCTGCAGCTTTTCGGACTGAAAGAATTGAGCAAATTCGTCAGGGCTCGTTGTCTCGCCACCCTGCCGTCCAAGGACGCTCCGCAGGAAGGTGAACCCAAAAAGAGGCTACCTTTCTATGCCTCGCCTGTTGTCAAATTCCAGGTCACCCCGAAAGAGGGTGAATCTGTGCCTACGGAATTGAAAGGTGACAATTACTCGTATTTTATCCCATCTGCTAAAAACAACTCTTTGTTTCCTATGCATTTTTGGGACCGTAATAACTCACCTAGTTAAATAAATCCTCAATGAGCGAAAGATTGTTAACTGCTTTGATGTTGTGTTTTAGATATATCGAACTTGAAGGTTGAGGTGCATGGTATCTCACCTTCGGGAACTCTTACTGATGTTGATGGAAATAACAGAACCCTTGACTGCATAGTGACTGGTATGTTTTGTAGTAAGAGCGTGACTAGCAGTATCATTGCTGATTCTACTACAAATAACTTTTTTCTCCCATCAGACAAGTGGATGGGCGCCCCCATTGTTGAAGGCATCTCAGTGGGGTGGAATTTGGCCACGGGTCCAGACAATCAACCATTCGAGCTATCCCGTCTTGCTGATAGTGTTCAGTTTGACGGATCCAGATTGATCTTAACTGGACTCCGTAAAACTGGCAAGTATTCAGGCGGTCTGCGAGGTCAGTGCATTGTCTCTACTGAAGGCGGTGACACTCTTGAAGTACCGGTAGTAAAATCCGACGTCTTTGCTATTCACATTTTGCCGAAGCCGTCGGTTGATCTGGAAGAGCCGGCGGTACCTGAAGAAGACGGGAAGGGACTTCCCGATACGTGGCTTCCTGGACCTGGTACGTTCGTAGTACCCCCAAAAGCCACTTGTTTTGAGACGTTTTCTAATCATTTCTTTATTACAGAACCCAAAGATGCAGTTTTTGTGATCATTCATGAATTGAACCGCGATGGAGAATTTGAACGCAACGTCGGTGCGGATGCAACGCTTACTTGTGTAGCACACGGTGAGTTAACATTTACCAGTCTCGGTTGAGGTAGCGCAACTCTGTAAAACAGTACATTGTAAACTTGTCTAATAAAATTGTCACTTTTGATAGCTCTCATTCGCTCATTTCATTAATAGCTGTTAATATTTATCAGGTGTATTCCCTAAAAAAATAATATCTTTTTGCTTTTTATTTGAACTAATTTATTGCTTTAACAGCGGCAATTTCTAACACTTGTCCTCTTAGACACGAAAACCCAGCAGCAGCTGAAGGTGGGCAGTCCAAATGACAGAATATCACTGCGCTTTGGTTGGGAACTCCGCGATAAGAGCACTGGAGAAGAGGTAGGTTGTATAAGCTTTCGCTCAAGTGTGATAAGCTTATCGTATCTTCAAATAGCCATGGCAGGGAATATTTTGCTTGCATTATCATTGCATTTTTTACCACTGTCCTTGTCCAACATATAGTTGAGCTTCAACCAATTGGCGTCTGGTCAAGTGACCATGACCCAGACATCCCAGGGTGTGGACGCACCGGACTCCAGTGCGGTCAGTCGCCTACACTTGGAGGGTCTCCTCTCGACCATTGGCAAGTCCCTCCACGGTCGCTGCACTGTCGGTCTGAATGGGCAGCGCTATCGCTCCGCCTATTTTCCCATTTCAATCGGCGGCAAGAGGGTTCCTGGAAGCATTGTTACTGTTGATGACATCCCTGGATACTACGGTACGTTTTTAACAAAAAGTCGAAAATGAAAAGACTCAAGGTCAATTTCCATAAGCCTCTTTTGTTGGCATACTTTTTCAGAGACTGACAATGCTGTCACCGTAGTCATTTCACAACTGGACTCCGATGGAGGAAAGGTTGTGTACAGTGGTGAAGATGCAACTCTAACATGCTCTGCGATGAGTGAGTTTATTATATAAATTGTTACATTTGTGTACATTGGCGCGAATCCATGATTTATTATGCAATTTCAGATTCAAAATCGAGGATTCCACTTCCTGAAAAGTCAGTGTTCTACGGGTGGCGATTAGTAAATGCTGAAGGTCACGAGTTGCCTCCAGAAAGTTTATCATCAATTCGAGCTGAGGGAGACACGTTGACTTTAACCAAGGTCTCGTACACAGTCGGTAAAAGTGGTGTTCTAGAGCCCATCTATGGTTGGTGCATTGCGGGAGTAAAACGAGCGGCCGGTTTGTCGGGACTGCAGCACTACCGATCGGACACATTCATTATCCACCCGAATGGTGAAAGTGTTGGCGAACCATCCACCCTTGACAGGCCTGGTACATTTCGTACTACGCGTTTTTTCGATGGTCTGGGTAAAAATTATGTATTGGCTGTGTTTTGTTGCAGAACTTACGGTTAGTGTGACCAATGTTGGTGGAGATGAAGACTTCCTCGTTCGTCCAGGAGAAGACGTCGAAATGATAGCAACAGTAACAGGTAATTCAACATATTGAATAATGAAAATTTTTTAATCCGATAATTTGACTTTAAACTTCGTTTAACTCCTTTCCAAGACTCGAAAACCGGTGACAAAGTGGCATCAAAAGACGTGACAATCGGCTGGGAGTGGACAGATGTGAGCGGAATGCGGACAATAAATTTGGGCGAATTTGCTGCTGGTGGAGAAGAGCTAAAATCTGAGGGCTTATACAACGCCTACGACGTGCGACTTCCACAACCTGTGCGTGGACGCGCTGTGGTGACATACAGCAAGCCTGAAGAGGGCCGAAAATGGTACTACACATCGCCCTACTTCTTCCTCTCGCCTGATAGTGAATTTGTTCCGGCGGAGGGAGAAGAACCATATAACGAAATTCCCTTTGACGAAGGTAATCCCCACCTTTTATTCTGTATTTATTATACGGTGAAGTCCTGTAGAAGAAAAATGCTTTATTTTTTCTCAATGATGGAGGTTTAATTATTAATTTGCCCTGAAAATCTAATGAACAGGCCACTACCTTCTTCGTTGAATTCCATTTGCGTTGTCTGTGTGACCAATTAAACAGGATTTATTGCAAAATTGCGCTTTAGTTACCGCAGAATACGTTCTGGGACGAAGCGGCTACCCTGTCTATTCAGACGTTAGCCCTCCTTGAATTCGTTCCTCAGAGAAGCTAGAAGATTCATGTATGTCCTAACGCTACCACTAGTATAGGGGCTGAGTTAGACCCCAATGCGTCAAGTCGTAATGAGAGATAGTATTTATGCGTGAAGAGGGCCTGAGGAACTCGTAGTCTCGGGATACCCCTCTTGGAGATCAAATGGTGGAGGACTGGAAGATTCTGCGCAATTCCTGGAAAATTTAACGGCTATTAGTTCATAGGATCGCTTTGTCCACGCTAGGCGATTTCAGACAATCTATTGTGAATTTAAGGATTATTTTTAATTCATTTCACCCTCTTTTGTATTGTTTTCTTGAGCTTGGAGTTGTTGCCATTTACTGATCTTCCCTAAATTCAGCTGATGACAAGGATGTCCTACTCAAAATCACCGGACTGAACGATAAGGACCAGTTTGTTGTTCCCACCGAAGGCAAAAGCGAAATCACTGTCGTCGCTACTGGTAAGTTTTGGGGGAACTTGGTTCATCTCAATGCCTTTGCAATTAAATATTTATCTACAGATCAAAAGCAATTTTTTTAGAAGTGAAATCTCATCCTGTCTGTAGTTATTCCCACTATTTTTTGCTTCTCACCAACATTACTTAGGCACTAGATACTATTCTTGCCAAGTACGGTTTGATAAAATGAGCACAACTTTTTTATAGACGCGGCTACGGGAAAAGTTCTAACGGAGGATACAGAACCCGCGTTAGTGGGTTACGGCTGGGATGTGGTGAAACCCAACGCTCTCCCAACTCACAGTGGTGACTTGGCCGACTCCGTCCAGATGGACGCGAAATCAGGCAAGCTCACTATGACCAATTTGCAGCCGGGCGGTCAGCAGGCACTGGTGCGAATGACCGCTCTGGTTGAGGTCACGAAAGGAGAAGGGGAGGAGGCCATCACTCTGCGCAAGCGCTACAAGTCCAATCCCATACCTGTTGTCTCCGAGACTGATGTATGGCCCGATGACTCTGCAATGGACTGTAAGTCTTGGATATTTTTAACGCTCTGGACTTTTATGGAGTAAACTTTTATACAGTTGATGTAAAGGTGGATTTTTAGCCTTTGGGTAATCTACTGGCAATAGACGTGTTTCTTATTTCCTAAAGGTAAAGTAGTTGTGGATGACCGTTTCTATCAACATGGGTATAAGGTATATACGTATATGTAGGTAATAGCAGTGTTTTACAATAAACTTCTGAATTTATTTATTTTTTTTCAGTGACTGGGAAGGTGGTCACTGTCACGGTTGAAGGGTTGGATGAAAATGGCGACCTTGTTGTGAGTCCCGGCGAAAATGCGAAAATGAGAGCTGTCGTCAAAGGTAAGCTTTCTATTATCTTTACAGTCATATTTTTTAGGGGAGTCCTCGTGACCACCAACTGTTTGGTCTATTCATTAGCAAGCAGTCATGCATCTTTAGCGTCTACGTCACTTCTGAAAACATTACAAGATTCACGAGTCCGGAGGGAGGTCTATTATTTGCAATTAGAAGACCTGGAGGCTAGTAGCATAAGTAACGTCATTTTAACAATCCTTTAGCTGTGAGGCCCCACAAACAGCCATCCACATCGTATTTCGTTCGGTCATGCAGTAATTGGCCTAAACGCATTACCAAAAGCCTTTACATTCTTTGTAATTGGCGAAGATTGTCAACGCTGTCGTCAGTATGGTGCCTAAGTTTGTGAAAGTAAAGCACAAAAGATTTAAGGCTCCCAACATTGGTGGTGCGCAGAATTCTATGCCACCAACGTGTGGACGAGCATCATCCGGCTAAAATCATTTGACTTTCCCCATGGAGCAGATGTTTGTTTAGTGTGCTTCGAATTACCTCGTTTAGATGCCTCGGGAGCTGATACAAAAGTGAGCGGCTACTCGTGGATGTTCGCCGACCACAAGGGCTATCCAGTGGCGCCTTCGCTGATTGCGAAGAGCGTCGAGGAGGGTGCAGATGGCAGCTTAAAACTCTCCGTCATTCAACCCTCTGCGATGGCTGACGGCGTGCGTGGTCGAGCTCGTGTGGCTGTGCAGCGCGAGGGTGGCGAGGGTCCTCAGTACTACGAGTCCTCCTGGTTCAAATTCAAGCTATCGATTGAAGAGGAAGTCGGCCCAACTGATGGCCCCAGCGGTATTCCCGATGAACAAGGTACGATCCACTGCATTTCTATTTCCCGTGAGAGAAGCTTGAGTTAACTGACTCACTTCGCTCTTGAAGTAATTAAATAAACTTGCCTTGACTTCCTTTTTTTCAGAATATGGATTCACTTTGAAAATAAAGTCGAATACCAGCATTATCTATCCCAATAAGGAGGGTGATATTGTAATGGCGCGACCTCATCTTCCGCTTGAGGTGAGTTGGTCTGTTACTTGGTATGAGGCTCACTCAATCTATCACTTTTATTAATTAAATGAAAACAAGCGACAAGCCGTCTCTGCGGTTCTGGTTCCTCGTAAAACTGCTATTATTTCAAATAAAATCACAAAACGGGCTCCGTAAGAGATGTAGGATCCAACTCAAGTAACGCCGACTTTCCCCGTCCATGAAGACTTCATGAGATGTTTGTTTTTTTAGTTGGACTGTGTGGTCGAGTTTGCGGAGGGTGTTACTCCACGTTTGTCGGAGGCTGGTACACCAGTTCCGCAGCTCTCGTGGTACTATCGACGTCCGGAGATACCCGGTGATGTTCCAATTCCAGCCGAAATCTATCGCGTGGATTTAGGCAAACTGGAGACTCTGCTCATCAGTGAGATCGGCGATCGTGGTATTCGTATCTCCTCGGATCTCTATGACTTCCGCGATGATCTTGCTGAGTTCCAGTGCCATGCCATGGATGGTGATAAAACACTGGCGAAGCAGACTGTTTTTATCAACCGTAAGTGCGCAACGCCAAATGTAAATGTTATTTGTTAAAGTTGCCTTGACATCAGGGAGTTGAATGTTCAAGTTTTGTTCCTATTAAGCATTCTAGCGGATGATGTCAGTTGTTTTTCGGACGAATTGAACTCGTTTATTTCAAGCGTTGCTCCGTTGTCATCCATGGGGCAGTACTTGAATTAGGGCTTGTTACCGAGTGGTTGGCGTTTTAATAGCCCATCTTCTGCAATACCTCAGATACAAGCCTTCATTGAACAGTTAGAGCAGTCATATTCTGTTTAAAAGAAAACAAACTCATCGGACCGCTACAACTCCGCAGGTGTCACCTGGAATACGAGTCTGGGAGTGACTTCATAGCCTCAAGGAGAGGCAGGTAGAATAGTGGCCTTGGCAACATGAGAGATGAAGCGCGGGCGACTAAATGTTATGTTTAGTATACCTATCATTTTAGTACATAAAACAGACTAAAAACCGAAGTTATGCGCTTTTTTTTTCAGGTGTGAAGGAACGGGTTCGTGTCCAAGTGTTCGATGAGAACTCACGCACAGCCCTGTATGCACTAGAAAACTCTAAGACAACTCTGTCGTGCTACGTTGAAGGTAAGATTGCAATCACTCCCTATCACTAGTGACCGACTTGTTGTAACTCGTTTGAGGTCGGATTTTAAAAGTCTTACCTTAAACAGCTGAATTAATGGCTGAGTGAGAACTATTGTTTGCTACATTGTTATCAATTTTGCACCTTTGCAGGAGTATTACTTGATCCCACCTCAAAAAAGTTCAAATTATTGAAATACAGCGAAAAAGATCATTCATAACACACTTTATTAACTACTCATTTCGTATAGACGAGATCTACGGTGGTCGAGTGGATCCTCTCAGCTACAAATGGGAGATCAAGCATCCGCAACGGGGCTGGGATGAGAATATCGAGTCCAGTAAAGTGGCTACCACGGTTGAGGGAGTGAATATCAAAGACCTCATCCTGGACGGTCTCCTCGTTTCTGAGCCCAATCAACCCTCAACGTCCTATCAGCTTCGTTGCGTCGCTCAGTACAATGAAACTTACTTCGTTGTGTCAAGAGGCTTTGCCGTCAATGTTCACCGTAAGTGGCTGAATGGAGCCTGAATTAACTGACTACCTAGAATCTTGTAAGATTTTGCACAATAGAGTTGCAAACACTGGAATTGACGATTGGGAATGAACGAACTAATTGCGTTTTAACTTCTAGGAACTCCTGAATTGAAGTCTATTCGATTGGTGCGTGAAAAACCGGAGCACCAAGAGCTGTCGGACGAACCTGCGAGGGACATATATGACGCCGGTAGTGATTACCTCGTATCGTGCAAGCCTGAATTTTCCGCAGGCGAAGTTCAATCGGTGTGGGAAAAAGTAAGTGACGTTTCTTCTCAATAAACTTGATTGGATGTAGGCAGAATTTTAATCCCAACCCCGCACATTTTTAGTACGATGAGGAGTTTCTTGACTGGGAAATGATTAGTCCACCTTCAGACAAGCTCTTCTTTGTTGCCGACTCAACGGAATACCAAGATGAGGGTCAATACCGATGTCGTGTCAGTCACGATCTACAGGATTATGAGTATCATGTGATCAAGACACGTGTTCTCGAACTCCGTCGTATTGGTACGCAAATCTTAATAACTCCAGCCCTTTCAATCCTCATTTGATTAGAAAGAAACCTCTTTAAACAGCAGAACCAGAAGATAACCGAGCATGTGACTCATACGTTTCTGTTTTAGCTGGTCCTGCACCATCGGCCAAGGATCAACAGACATTTACGGTGAACGACGAGTTAATGTTGCAATGTACTGACCGTTCGGCATCGCCACAGGTTGAGGTTGAGTGGTCTTTCAAACCCAGTGGCGATGCACCGCCTGAAGGCAAGGATCCTCTTGCCATCGGTAGTTACTTCCAGCACGATCGAACCAACGTCTTCATGTAGGTTTACTCCTCGTATTTTCTGTGTGGATAGTACGCGACATTTGCCTTATGAAGTTGTGGGTGCATTCGGGTGACGGAGCTGCTCTGTATTAATTGTTTTTGGTAAATCGCCTCGGTACAAAGTTAGGATAAGATTTATATTTCTTGGTCTGATAATCGTCCAATTTATCCCGCCTTTAGCGTCCCTCGTGGTCAACTGTTGGAGTCGCATTCAGGAACGTACACTTGCACAAGAACCAATGAGCATGGACAGGCAACAACAGCGATCCGTGTTACCGTGAAGCCTGACTCCTTTGAAGCGGTCTATAATGTGAGTTACGTTAATGTTTACTAGTGAACTCATTCTTTCGGTTTATCTTAGAAAAACCGGTCCATTTGCATGAACGAAATTGCCACCTATTCTCGGTTTCGAGGACGAAGGTCCATTTTCAAAGTGCAGTGATTTCAAGCCGATTACTTCCACCTTATAGCTGACTGGGATTTCAGCGGGATTCTGTGATGATAGCCTAAAGGTTGCGATGTGTGAAGTGATACTGCCTATTCAATTCTCTTTAGGGACCTTTGCTTATCGAAATGCACTACCCAGTGATAGCACCATGAGAATTGTAAGCACACCGGTAACGCTTAGCCGTTTTGAGCGGATCAAATTGGGTGATGTGTTTGGAATTTAATTAGGCACCTAATAAGGCGTCACCACAACTGTGCGCTTCTAGGATAAACTACTTAAATCCACCGGCCCATTTCACTCCGTAAGACGTCTTAACTTTTCGCGATTTTCGTTTTAAAATAAACGAAAAAAAAAAAAAAAAAAAAAAAAAAAAAAAGAATGGCGGATCGAAATGAGTTAAAGGTTTACGCGCAGTATTCAGACCTGCATTCTGTAAATATCTTTCTTGAAAGTAGCTTTGCGCTGTCATGTGCATACTTATATAAACTTAAGTAGTATATTCAGGATTAGATTATGCCAGATGAATATTTTTTGATATCACTAGAATCAGCCTCTGCGTAATGCATGCATTCCTTTCACTTACAAATGCCTCATCTCATTTTAGAAACGAGCGTGATCGCACATCGAAGTTCTGCGCACTTCTCGGAGCCCATTTAGGTCCCAGGTGGCTAAAGACTACTCCTTCTTGCTCTCTAGTCTCTTACTGATTATTAGCATGTTTCTTTTCAAAATATAGACTTTTCAGCATTGCCTTGCTTTTCTCATTTTAAGATAACAGAATACGGTGGACGCAGGGGCTTTTAAAGGGTTGCAGGTACTGTTCTGTGTATAGTTAACTTGGTGATGTAAAGCAACGTCTCAATGCCAGTGCGGAACTGATAGAAAAATCACTGTTCCGTTCGCCATGTGTACACAAAAGATGATTAACCTCAAAACCCCAACAATGAAAACAGCCCTTTGATTCATCATTCGGGAAGTACTCTGGAGTAGCTTTCACGTTGGGAATTTCAGGAGTCGCAGGGTGCGTCCCTTTTCTTCGAGCCACATTTCTCCAACCGTGGCGATACCTCCAATGTCGTCACCCAACCCCCAGCCGCAGCTGCTCCCATCACATAGTCTCTTTCGATTGGAAGCCCCCCTCCCCGAATAGTGCCGCTGAGGCTGAAATCATATTGTACCAAATCCAAACTATGATTTGGGTATTCCAAAATTTCTACACCAGTGGTATCAAGTTCTACTCAGTGGACCATAACGTGAAGGTGGAGGGCACAGCGCGACACCACCGTTAAGGGTTTATGTTAGTTTTGCAGCATTTCATAAAACGATGGATCTGAAACTGGGGAAAAAAAACTGCATCTCTTTGGTTGAGTATGCTACTTGAGTATGAACCTTCGTCCCAAAAATGGCAGCCTTCTAAACTACCCGAGAAACCGGAGTGACGCACAGCATTACCCACGCGTCTCCAGCAAAACAAAACATTTTCCACCCCTCCAAATTTGCAATGTCAGGTAGAAGAGACGCAAAAGTTGCGAATCGAAAATAGGAATTATTCTCATGTTATCTCTGCAAGCCGGGGAATATATAGCCAGGATTATCAGGCGGTAATGAGAACCTTATGAAATTTGACATTGGGACTCAGGCTGGTGAAGGTGTGTGGCCATACACCTTCACCAACTATTCTTAAGTACATTGGATCAGGATGTGCAGCTTCCAGCTCCGAAAAATTCTGCCAAAATAAGTCGACTCTCAACGGTTTCGTCACTTTCCTCCCTTCTCACCTGGTAGCTCGATAGGAATCTAGTGTTACCTCGAGATTAGGTGGTGGTGCTTTCCATTTCATAAAATAGACTGAGATTGACTACCCTCTAAAACTCATAGTCAAAATTCTTTTGTAACTCAATTACATAAAGCAGAACTTCAAACCAGCGTTGACCTGCCCTCAAAAGTTCACTTATGGTTAGACAAGGTCCTCTCTTCGTTTGAAACGCAATTTTCCAGGCTCCGTATTAGCCTCGTAATGCTATCAGCAGGAAAGCTGTTCTCTAACAAATATGCAAGTCCTGATGTTTCCATATGATTATCAAGCAAAATCCTCCTTCTAGAATCAATAAGCAGCTAAAGGATGAAAAATACACTTTTCTAGGGCCTTACTGGAAGTTGGGTACTCCAAAAAACCTTTCGCCTAAATGATCCACCTAAAATAGTGTGAGGTATGACGACAAGGCGGCGTTATCCTGTTGAGGAGTAAGCATCTCCCTTAGAGCAGGCTGCAGACTTAAGCGGATTCTGAGACGTCAAAATGCGTTATGCATGTGATAGGTGATCTAGAAAAACTGCAGAATATCAGCGCAGAAACCATGTGACAAGACCATACCTCCTTCGGCGTAATTCACAAGTACCACTGTACTCTTCAGCCTGAAGTGGAAACTGCGACTACTGACCTGCAAGGGCAGTTAAACTGTTGAGCAAGCGCAACCTCAAGCTCAACTAATCTTCACTGTTCCCACTTTTACCGTTTCAAAAAAACGGAGTTGGGAAATTTCCAGAACCTCCCTCATGTCTAAATTAGGCACAAAATTGTGTAAAGCGTATCGTTAACTTCGTGTATTAGGGGTTGATTAATCTTTTACAGGAGAACATCTCAAAGAGCTTCTGCTTTTAAATCATCGTCGTGTAACCTGCCATGGCTATTAGTCGTTCACAAAAGATACAGACATACACATTTACAAACTCATCCAAAGCATTCTACATCAGGCCGTACCGCCACCAGCGTTCATCATGGCACTTTTTCCGCCAAACCGAGTCCGCCCTCTGAGTGGATTCGTCTCTCTCCTTCTCATCACTTCCACCCTCCCCTTTCTCCTCAGCACTTCCATCCCTCTCCTCCTTCTCACCTTCTACTGCTTCCTCTGAAGGAGACCCGTTTGTTTTTGCTAGCTTGCTTACTGCGAGTCGGGTCCGGTGCGCGATAAGCAACGAATGCGGGTGAATGGGAAGAATGCCAGCAAGTCCGAGGAGTTCAGCAACACGTTCCGTGGGTTGGGCACCCTGACCCATCCAATAAAGGATACGTTCCACGTTCAGACCCACAAGCTGTTCTCCATGCTCGCGATTGGGGAGGGGATCCCAGCAGCCAACCTGCTCTATACCTTGGTCCAATCTGTGCGCTTGGCTTGACTTTACCTATCAGTTGTTAACATTGTTAAATAAGCATGAAATAGAAGCGGGGGAAATTCCGAAAAGCCAACACACTTAACTCTACGTAATGAGTATAGTAGTATGCAATTTTCACCGGCTTTTGTCGACAAAGTAGTGAATGGGAAGAGAAAACAAATTTCTGCCAAAAAGACGTAGATCCAAAAAACCCAGATCTAACATTTTATTCAAGACGCGTTAGTTCTTTGGAAGAAAAATGACCCCAGCTTTAAGTAAAATTGATGTCTCTTTTGGTCTAGTGCCAGTGACTAGATAAGATATCCGGGCAAATTTAGCCATTAACTATATCAACACCAAAAATTACAATGAAATGGTGAGAACCAAGGCATGCCTCCCTCACTTTTCCACAAAGACCGATGAGGCAAGTGTTGGGACTGCTACGCGGGACCGGCTTTTGCTCAGAAATACTACTTACCTTATTTTTCTACAGTTGGAGAGAGGAAAAACGATAAATTAAGAAAAAGAGCAGCATATGTCAGATTCTTCACTATTCACATTTGGCACCGACCGTTTAAAGCAAAACTCACTGAATACGAGCAATTCAAGCCTAAATAAAAATCTGCTCTCTCCGGTCGTGATATGAAGGCTTCGAAAATGACACAAACGATGGAAAGGCGGCAGTTTTGCTGGTCTAGGAGGCAGTCACAGTGACTCAAAATTGTATTAGTAAATGTTGACGGAACAGAAAGGAAATGACAAAACTCTGCTGGAACTGTTCCCTCCACTGAAACTAAATGAATATTCCTGTTGATCAGATGTTACCACAACCATCAGATTTGTGGCATTAATGAAAATTGCAGATGAAATCAAAGCATTCTGGGATACTTCCTCATTTTCTCTCACTATGGACAAGGATCAATGCGGTAATCGAAATAAAAACAGCAGAAACGGTTGTCAAACTTTGAATAAGGGAAATTGTTAAAGGACCACTTCACAATATTAATCAAAGCTCCACCCTTACAGAACTCGCACGACTAGTTAGTGACCTAAATTGATCATGATTACTTTGTCCCAGATCTTCTGAATGCTTCGCTTAAGATGCCATTGAAAGGTTTACCTACAGCTATATCTATATTGTCGAGAACTTTTTGATGTCTAAAATTTGAAATTGCATGAACAATAAGAAGACTGTATGAAAATGCATGGAGTCGTTTTGAAAGGCACGCAGGAACAGTAATTTGGGCCAATGGTAATCTCATCTTACAGCCTTCAGTTATGCTTGTTCGAACAAATTTTTGGCGCTTAAAAACCACAGATTGGAGATTAAGTATTTTTGTTTTGGCCAAGATTTGCCCGCAGATCGCTAACCCATCCTATAAATATGACGTCAAAATAATACGTCAGTGGCTCTCACAATTTTTTCTAGTTCAGTAATCACACAGTTATCAGTACTAGCAAAAATCCATGGATACGTATAGTTTCATCGGCACCGTACAACGCAGTTTTTTAGTAACAAGGCTAGAAACTGTCAGTTAAATGTAGCAGGAAATACAATACAAGTATCCAGATTACTAGTATGAACAATGAGCTATAAGGTGAAGCTTTGTGATGAGGAAAAATCGCGTACCTGGATGGTGTAAAAAGGTCGATTCCTACAGCCCTCGCGGACCATGCTAATTCGAAGGTGTGGAAGGGGTTTCACGGGGCTTAAGCCGACCACCTTCTTGGTGGGATCGCGGGGTTGAGGCAACCACCAGGAACTCGATTGATCTCTGCCTGGTACGATCCGCTTGCCCATGTCCTTGCTCTCCTCGGCAATGAGCTTCTTCAATCTGTCAGCCGGTATTGACCGAAGGTGACGACAGAAGTGAGTGGGAGTGAACGATTGTGTAGCGATGACGGCTGAGCGATTCAACATTATCTTCGAAGGCCAACCTTGACATAAAAAGATATCAAAACCAAAGTGTAAAGTGGCTCATTGGAAAACCAATAGTATTGAGCAATTAATAAACCCGATTGAGTAAACCAGATACAAGTCGAGATACGAGTCTTCCTGACAACTTTGTTTTATTATGACCCAGAAATCCCACAAAATATCCGAAAAAAATACTGCCAAATTGTAGGGACTATTAACGAAAGGGAATACCACATAAAAAATTTTACAGTTTGCTGCTCCTTAATTACGAATGAAATCTACGAGTAAAGGCAGTTTTAGACATGCCAAAAGTAAAACTCAGTAGAATGCAAATCGCAAGGGCACTTCACCAATCCCTCAAGAAATTGGAACTTAGGCTAATCAAACACCACTTTTTGGACTGACGAATGTGCCCGTTAACAGTCAGAATAAGTAACACAACATACTTGATGGACCGCAGATTCAAGAGCTTAACACTGACCTAGAGATGTTATCTCCTCCTTCCCACTATCTTATTTACAGTAGGTCCGCTTTATCTGCGTCTAAGTAATGGAACAGTAGAGAGAATCCCGACCACAAAACACCACCAATAAGCCAAAACTCTGTTCAGAGTATTTTAAAAAGGTTGCTGTATCGGAACAGTTTTAAAAGGAAGACTTTGAATACATATGGCAGCGTCTCAGAATTTCGCCGTACCTTGTCCTTCCAGCCCCAGAGGCCCATAGCACGCGCGATAAAAACGGCGCATCTAAACTATGAGACGTGGATCTAAGATATATATTTAGAACAATTTCTTAACGCCGTTATTCGTAAAGCTAAGTATACCATAGATCGAATAACAAAATGTCAAAAAGCAAGGTAGGCTATGGTCAGAAGCATCCTGATACATTGGACTTTAAAAAGTCACAGTGAAAAAGCTTAAATGCAATGAAATGGTTGTATTGCTTTGCATTGGCTATGTAAACACAAAGCTAAACTAATGAGATATGCTAAAACTACTGGAATCCTACCATTCAAACTTGATCCTAAAAGTTAAATCTTTTTTACTTAGGGTGAATCTGTTACTAAGATGAAATCACGTGCCCATTCTTATCTTAAAACACTCCTTCAGTTAATTGTACTTAAACGAACAAAGTTAAAACCCAAATAATACGATGTAAAAACCGATATCCTCTGATTGAGGCAATGAAAAGCCAACTGCCTATCTTATTACTTTAGCTTAGAGATTTTAATCAAAATACAGTCCTAAGACTAAACCATTGTGAGTACTGAATGCGAAAATAACAAGCAGACGTGACTTCTCCCCTAAAAAGCCATAGTTCGAGCCGACTGCAGACAGTAGTCGCCTTAAAGCTATGCACTACGATGGGGCCTGAGCACCAAACTACCGAGGGAGCGTGCTTGACACTTCCCAGCGAGAGACTACTTCCACGATCCCCCAAAGAAGTAAAAAAAAAACTCACTTACAAACTTGGTTCGACTCAGTGTAAAAAGGTAACACGAAACACCCAATCATTACAGGTGCAGGATCAGTGGGTTCAGGTTGCATCGAAAATAATCTATTACACATGATCTGTGTAGAACGTGTTAATTATAAATGTTCTAAAAAATGAGTTGGAAAGCTTTGCATTGATATGTGATACTTCAAGCCTCCATGAAACCGTCGATGTAGTGCACATTGAAGTTGAGATTCTGAACCAGGAGACGCAGGCTCTGATCCGTGTGGTTCTGCAACATGCTCATAAACTCGGTAACCATGGTCTAAATAGAAAAAAAAACAAAGGTTGAGTGCTTTCAAAACATCAGTAAAGGCTAAGATCCAATCTCATCAAAAAGAATGTGCAATTCTAGAGCCATGTACACTAAATAAGCTAGAGTGGCAGGACAAAATTAATGATTCAGTCAGATAAAAAGAGCGCTTACTGTAGATAAAAATATTTCATTCTAAGTGTCGATTGTGCTATTGTTAGCCGCGTATAAACACGAGCAGTAGAGTCCAGACAACTCACTCGGTAGCTGGATGCAAGAACACGAATTCGTGCGATCAACGGACTGACAGTGGCCTCAATGAATACCTTGCGCCTGGCCATCTCTCGACTTTCCGGAGTGTCGCATGTTCCCCACTGGCCTGTTCTTGCTGAAACCTCAATCTAAACAGCAAATGGCCAGTGTCAAGTTATGTCAGATGACTGTAACACCTGGACCCACGCAAACATTTCGAATTCTACAGCTAAGAAGCCTATCCACATGAAAGAATAAATTGATACAAAGACTTACCTCCTCCTGCAACTGAGATCTGATTTCCTGTTCACCTGCAGCCAAATCCTGCAAGTCCTGATTGAGTTGCGAGAAATTGACAATTACATCGAAGATGGCCCTCAAGTGGTATCGCAGATCCCTCGAGTTCTGATCCAGCAGACAACGAGAAATCACATTGCTCAGAAACGCCTTGTGAGCCTCAATGACCTCGTCCAGATCGTTTGCGGACTGAATTTTGGCACCCAAAGCCACCCAAGCGCACTCCAGAGCCTGAGAGAGCGAAGACCAGCTAAGATACAATACGATGGCCATGGTCTCGAGGAAACATCCCCCAGGGGTAGACATGATGCATGAGAAGCTAAAGGTACTCTAAGATGACCAAGCCCTTTCTTAAAAATCATTCCCTATTAGTGCCAACCATGCCCTTGGTTCTGTGCATGTAAACTAGGTTCCTGGTGTCTCAGTTTCCCTGCACCTTCATAAGAAAGATACTTCTGGAGTTATATGGTACCTTGGTTGCAAAGTTGGAAAGTCAATTTTAAATTAAGGAAGAACCCAATTTTCTCTAGATGAATACTATGACAAAACTTCATAGAAAAAAGGCATCCGTTGTGGACCAGTGAAGTAATGAAGGTTCGCAAGCGATAAGACGCCGAAAGCCTGCCGCAACATCAGGACTTGCAAATGATCATTTGAAGCCATCTCCCAATCTCCATTACATCTCCCATCTAAATCCGTACCTGTCCAACCACTAATGAAACAAAGTGAGTTTTCGCCATGTGATGCAAATTAGTTTCTGCCTCTTATTGGAAGGGAATACACTGGAGGGCTTTTGACACGACCAAAGCCGAAGAATGACCACAAGAAGAGCCAAGAACAACGCTTAAATTAAGAAAGCAAATTGGTCCATATCCCACGTTGATAGCAAAGCGACTTTCAGGTCCCTAATGCCCACTAGCATACACAGAGGTGACTCAGGTGAATGGCAGGATGATAGAAACATACCTCGAAATTGACATAGTATTGGAATTGCAAGACAAAGTGCCGAAACTCCGCCCCAAGAAGTTGGACTACATGGAGAATGGGTGTGAGGTCTGCGGAAAGCCCGTGGGGCAGACGCGCGAGCACAAGTTGGTCGCGCCACAGTGCACTCAGCGTAAATTCCATGCGTTTGAGACGCCAAAGGAAGCTGAAGGCCTTCAGGTAGAAAAGACGGCAGTCGGGAGTGAAGATGGTGGAAAGGGGACCGTCGACTTGGTAGCCCAGGGAGAAGATGTCCCAACCGCTGTCGCCTTGAACAGGAATATTGTACAGGTACACAATCAGCACCTAACACTGGAAGCTCATCGAAGGTAAAAACCGCAAGTCACCATACCTCTTAACTTGGTGTCGATTAAGATCAAAGGGAAGGTTATAAGCCTAACGCAAGAGAGATAAGACGTCCCAAGTGCAATCACTCATAGCAGAAAAACACGCAAGCACTATAAAAATGACGGCTCTACTCATGCCCCCACCCAATTTACCAGTTGTTCAGTCCTTCCATTCGCCTATGACAAAGCTACCTTCTGACCTGCAGATTTTATAACTTCCCCTACAGCTTATATACAATACGATATGAGTCACTACACAGCTTAGTGGGGGCCGGTATTTATGTGTTAAGGCCAGCAAAAAACACTAAAAGTCTACCTTAAGAGGAGACTTCATCAATAAAACCCTTAGCATTAAACAATACACCCAGTATGTAAGGAGATGTGTGCCATACTCTAGTTTGCGTGCCTTACTGCAGCACTGAAAGCCATAAGGAAGACAATACTATTGGGTAACTAGTGAAAGAGCCACCATTGGTTGGAGGTACTTTAATCACAGGCCAACAAATCCGGCGGCATGAAAGTTTAAAAGTTTTGGCTCGAGGCACACATAATAGCAGCCACCTACCATCAGCAGTCTCGAGGATCTCGACATTTAAGCGTTGAAGAATTTCCGAGTCCTCGTACTGCGCGTTAGTGTCACGAATCGCCGTCTCCAGTATTTCGTTCAGACGATGGCGCATTATGCTCTCCGCGGGCAATCCAAGTTCCGGCCTATTTTCCAGCAAGAGAGACGGAGAAGTAGGTGCCATGTTTTACTTATCTCGTGCTACAAAAAGTTTCTAGACCAACACTTTTTGAATTTCACGCAAAAGTACAAGGATCGCACAAGCAAATGCGCCTTTGGGAAATGTGACCATATTCCACATCCAGCGTTCAAAAATTTTCGCTAGAAATCATGTAAGGAAGAACTTCACACAGAGGGAAATATTAATAGCTAAAACCAGGTGGAAAACTACGGGTGCATAGTCAATGCAATTGCACTTTAGGTTGCGGAAAGTAGCTGGAATATGCAGTTGGAGAGCAGGTTACGTTGCATACCATCTACAACTCTTCAGTTTAATGCACAAAGGAATCTCGGATAGCCAGCGAAACCGCCGTGATGATGTTTGCAGATGGCAGAGGAAGATGACAGACAGGTGCAATGTAAACTTACTCCAGTAGATCCATGAGACGTTGAATGAAATCACCCTGACCCAAGAGCAGGAACTTTCGACAAGCCTAAACAAATGTGAAATAGGGAAATTCCTACTTACTGAATAATAACACAGATAAAATATGGGAAACATTACCAGACTTTTTAAATACTGAAGCAAGAGTTTGTGTTCCTTAAGTGTATTACCCTGTTTGTAGTGATATAACTTAAAAGGAGGCGACTAAATTCACTATTCAAAGTGCTTACCGTCAGATGATCGACGAAATGATATTTATCGAATAGGATTCTGAGAAGGTGCTTGGAAACGTGCGTATAGGCGGTAGAGATCATTCGATCAAAGGAGTTGTCGAACACTTGATCAAAGATGGACTCAACTGCAAGATAGAATCGCATTAAAGCCAAATCTGCAGAGTACAAAATGCAGCTAGCAGGCCACCACACAAAGGAGGTAAAACTTACTTCGTTTTAGTCGTGTGTTGCGAATCGCCTCTAGGTCCTTGAAAACAAGCGAATCGTCACAAACATGCGTGAGAAAGTTGACAGATTTCCCAACCAGCAGAATCTGGATTTTGGAAAAATTATGCGTCCTTAAAAAGCCGTATGCGCAGGGTTTTTTAAAACCATACAACTTAGCACATCCTTGGACCGAATCAAAAAAACATCAGTGGTACAACGGGCATATGCAAATCACTTTCACTATGTTGTAATTGCTAAGTGCAATCATTCGATTCAAAAGTCTGGATGCCCAGTGGAGAGAAAGCCACATTTTATCAGACAAACCTTTCTAGCCTGCTCCTTACGGATAAAAACCGGAACCATGGATTTTCGAAGAACATATTTATCGGTCCATAAATTCGAATTGTCCACAGAGGGATTGATTGTAACAAAGAATTCCTGGTTAGTGTCGGCCGAAAGTCGCCCATCATAGATCCACAGCGCAATCATTTCAAAGATGGTTCGTGTGACGTTAACGAGGATAGTGGTGAGCATCGTCCAAATTTGCGGGCCACCGTTTTGGCTCATTTCATAGACCTACGAATGAGAAGAAGGTGCTAAAGGTGATGCAACTAACGCAACATGCAAAGTTAAAAAAAAACACAAGCAATTGATACCAACATTAGGTGACGTAAACATTCCCTGTACACCAAACCTTGCATTTTGGTGATCAACTTTCGAAATTATAAATGCAATTGGACGACCGATTATGGGGTAGCAACAATGGCCATCGCCTAGGAGTCAGAAAAGCAGGAAGTGTGGTTTACAAGGCCCATTGGAGGCTCTAATGCACCGCTTCTCAAGCAGTAGCTCATGAAATACGCAGTAAGAAGGAAATTAACCATTAATGATGAAACAGTTCATAAATTGTTATAAAATTGCCGCAACCCACAAGGGGAGAACAAAAGGGACACGCACAATTGGTACACGAACTTAGTGACATTGGCATTAGTTTGCAAAGTAATCCAGCGTGTCTACCATCCAGGGGATATCAAGTGTTTCGTAAAGACTTATGTACATAACTCTCATTCGTCAGGTTGTAGCTCTTTCCGCCCCTTTCAGTAACCCTTCTGTTCGTTCGCTCAAGTCCTGATTCTGTAAAAGAACCTCACAAAACTGGCTTTAAGATATGTCTCTGAGACAGCGCAAAGCACGTGTTACCATTTTAAAGGAAATAAGTATGAACTTTTGGGCGATTCTATAGAAATCCGCTTAAGGTACTGGAGTTAGGGTTGTACACTGGCGAGGTATTTGGTTAGTCTAAACACGAAACAGAAGATTATGGGGTAGCACTTTGTAAACTCATAAAGCACACATGTAATCCTCATCCTGCTAAATCTTTAGAATCTCGAGATGATGTAAGACAAACGAAAATGAAAACAAAAACAGTGAAGTATAAAATTCCTTGAATACCTTAGATACGAGTGCTCCACCCTTTAACGACGCACAGACGTCGGCCAGGGAGGCGAGGATCTTTAAACGTCTTTTGGGCTCCATAAGCCAATGCGACAGCTGCACCAGCGTTAGCGGTTGCTTGCCTAGACCTGTTTCTGATTGACTACCGTCCCTTAAAGAATGCATCGATGGAGCAGCCGAAGAAAACTGCCGAGACGAATTTTCGGAACTAAAATTGGTACCAAATTTTTCCGTCTCCAAATCGCAGTTCATTTGAGCCTTGAAGAGGTATAGTAAGATTAAATAAGTGTACAGTCCTATCGAATTTGATACAATTGTGTAGAGAATGAGGATTTACTTCAAGCGTAGTAACTAATCGGAGGTACTCAGTCAGCTGTTCGTCGATCGAGAGAGCCAAGGAAAGCGTAACTTTTCCAGAGTTTGGGTCGTCGCGGACACCATCGACAAAACTTCTAATACGATTGTAGAGCCAACCGCACACCGATGTACGCAATATATGCGTCTGAATGGACGGAGAGAGTGTAAGATTTGGGGCAGGCTGAAGGAAGAGAAAATGAACTCAACGTCATGCATCCAAATTCCGAATGCTCAAGTATTTGACTACAACCATTATCGAATAAACATAAACGGCACCTCTTAAAATTGTGAAATGATCAACATGTAACATTCTTTTTGGAATGAGGAAATATCCGTTCCGGTAAAGTAAGGACTTGAAAGATGTTTCAACGGTTTTATGCGTGCTGATGAGGATTTTACGGTCTTAAATAGGTTCAATTATAAAACCAAAGAGGAGTAACGCACCACAAAGGCATCGAGTGTGGGATCATATTGAATCAAGGAGCCGCTTGCCCCAGAGAGGGTGAGAATGGCCTCTCTTAGCAAATCCTGTTCAACTGGTGAGACATATGAGCTAGCTAAAAATGAAACAGTTTACGAAATCATTTAACGGTGGCTAACAACATCGAAAATGTCCAGTCATGCGAATAAAAACACATGTCACTTTCATTGTAACTTCATCGAACTACTATAAAACCAATCAACTTGACATCTCAGAGGTAATCAGTTAAAATCCAATCCAAAAAGTGTGATAAAATGTAAAAAGAGAAATGACAAAAAATCAACCAAATCTTTACAAAACATACAGTGTCAGCATGTTAATTAGATTCAAGCCGACCAATTTGATTACTTTTGGGAATGAATAAGGCTAATTAATATTGAAGACAAATCCACGTAATATTCAGAAACACTAATTCAACTGTTTGTGTAAAATGTATATTTGAGTCAAAGGAAATGTTTCAAAGAGGAATCCCTTACCCTTGCTTAAAGATGGTGCACGGCAAGCACGACGGCTGCCGAGACCACGGTCAAGGGTGCTTGCATTTGAGTGAGTGCCCCATAGTGATGTTGGCGTTTGGCGACTCGATGCGAGATCTCGGCTTGAAGATGCGTCTGTATTAAGTCCATCCGAGGGATTTCTAGTAAAACTAGGCAATTACACGACTTCCAAGTAATTAATTTTTAAGTATGTAGGCATGGACTTGGTGAATTTACACAAAAGCATAAAAACGAGCTGACTGAATAAAAAACTTACAAGTAGAGGAGTACAATGAAATCAGGTATAAATTTAGCAAAGCAGATGGAAGTTGGTTATCAATATCCATAATCTTCCAACAAGCCTGAACATCCAATAATAAAGTCACATATTTTAAAGCGCATTGCGAAGAGACTTAGGTCAGAGAAACACATGATGAAAGCCACTGCTGATAATGGAAACCGTTAGCCGTGCATAAAAAGGCCATCAACAAATGCTATTTCGTTTGCATGTAACATAAATAGAGGTCCAATAAATCAACCACTATATCACAACGCGTTGACGACATCGAAAAATTAGGAAGTAGAAGGTTGGTAAAAACACTCATAGTTAAGGCTAATCTTACGGCCGATAACCATGACTTCTTGTTGAATGTCCGGCAGACATGCTATTATTATTAATCTGCCTCAGAATTGTCCTTCCGGGAAGTTGGGATGAAATTGGTGCAGGCGATGGGATTTGATCACGTTTCAGCAAAACCAGGAATAAAAATATTTCTTCAAAGCTTTTTTGCGGTGCCTAGAACAGGTACAAAACGCAAATGAGATCTTATAGTGTAAAAATACTCACTAGATTTTGGAGCAGCTTTAGCTTATGTCGAATGCTCACAGAACAGCGCAATGAGATGAAACCTGGGAAAATGGACGACAAACATGGTGGTGAATCATACCTAAGCTATCCGGGTTTATGTCGAGAGGGACAGTGTAATTCTTAATGTTCCTAAACCCAATGCTGACAAGATTTAAGTGATTACCTGCTCAAAATCTGGACGGCATATGCAAAGTAAAAGTTGAAACCTCAAAAAATTATCTTATGGGGAAGTATTTACAGTAATTACTTGGTGTGTCACCGAAGATAGCCCTAACTAAATCAGCAACCTCCTCGTCGGAAAATGCAGTACGCATACAGGTCGTTTCATGTAACGACCCAGAAATAATATCTGAACCAACGTATCACGTGTTGATGTTCCCAACTTTTAACCGGTACTTGAACAGGGTGTAGCTGATGCAGGAGAGCAAGGCATAGCTACGAAATGAATTTAGTTTAATTAGCCCGATTACGGAGTAGGAAGGTAACTAACTATAATTTTACAAAGTCTTTGGTTGCATAAACTGTCATGCATAACTATTGTCTGAATTTTATGCTTCTTCCACAGGATTCTTTCTATTTACAATTCACTTGTAAAAGAACTTAAAAGTCTAAAATTTATATCCCAGTTTTTGGTGTCAAAATGAACTGCTAACCCGTACTTTTAACTGAGAACCCCTAAATATCCTATTTCCACTTTCCTTCACATTTGCCGTAATGCGCTCCTCGTTTTCCTCTTCCTCCCTAACCTTCATACTCTTCGAACGAAACCCGATTTAACTGAATGTGTTTATTAGCTTAAGCCGACGAGAGCCGGTGCAGGTATGAGGAGATCGGGCTATTTAGCTCTTCTCTGCTTCGGGGATCCTGACCACTTTATCATGAAGTTCTAGTTGTAATACTTATGTTGTTTTAATGTACCTCTCAGGGAGGAGGCAATAGGGAAATTCAAACCTTGTAATCGGATTGTCCTCTCCCTTACCTAGTGACTGCGGCTCCCCTCCTTCTTGAATACGTATTTTCCCTATCCATCTTGTCACCTTTAATAAAGATGTCCAAAGCGAATCAACCGGGCTTGTCTAGGAACGCTAGGAATCGGGAAGCGGAGACCGAGGAGCCTCGCTCCACACTGGTGGCAAAGCCCGCTGACCTACCCCTTTCGAGGAAGATATGAATTTCGAAGAATGGCTCTTAACTGCCAAATTCAACCTTCCTCTCTATCCCCGTTGTCAAAGAATACCTCTTATCCTTCGCGCCCTCCCGCATGATTTATTCGTGGCCGCAGTCGGAGCTGGCATCACCCACGACACGGACGTTGACCAATGCTGCGATACATTGGCTCAACTAGTCATCGATCGTGAGGAGGGAACCCTGGCTAGGGACTTCTTTCAGCGTTTTCAAAAAGCTGATGAGGCCGACGAAGAGTATGCCAGGAACCTCCAACTCCTGGCGGAACGTGCGTTCCGCGGCTGCCCCCCAAACAAGATCGCCAATTGGGTTGCAGTTCAGTTTAAACACGGAATCCGACCTTCCATCTTGGCTGAGAAGCTCTGCGAAGCAAAGACTAACTCGCTCGATTAATTGG